TGCAGACTACACACTGTGGCATTTATGGAAGTGCTTTCTTACTGTGATCTACTTTAAATCCTACCCTTCGTTGCAGTTTTACTTCCTGTTTCCTGTTTAATTCTCAGTTTAGCAAATGTAACTTCCGGTTACTGCTAGGCTCCCGTGAGCTACTTACGGCAACGTACATTCACCACACTTTTCACGTAGGAATTATGCCAGGTTGTACCAATCCACAGAGTCAGCCGTAATGCAAGGAAGACAGGGCAGTTATGAGTTTCTGAATGCAGATGTATTCAGTTTGTAGAGCACAAGGGAAATCGCAGATGCTGACATCAAAGACTGAGCCATATTTTATGCCACAGTCACATTCCTCCCTGCCAGACACTCGCTGTACATCAAGACACTCACTTGATTCCCAGTGCTGCTCCTTGCGGTGGAAATTACTTCCATAGCCCTGATTAGAACCTGCTGCATCTTGGAACTTCTTGGAAAGAGAGTGAGGAGCAGCCCTCAACAAGGCACAGCTGCCTGCCACATGAGCCCGTTAAAGACAACAACTCCTAAGGGTATCATGATGGTTTGCAGCCTCTGATACATTCACCTCCAGCTGCACATGTCCCTCTGTTGTTTGGGCTTATTTTATGACCCTCTTACTCAAGAAAAGCATCTATAAACTACGAGGGAAATGCTGGAAAGGAGCCATGATTTCCCTTTTTTGTGTAGTTTAAAATTCTTACTTTTAATATGCTTGTGCATTTATATATTTCAACTGTGAAGTGCTCCACTTGCATTACTTCAGAATTTATTACCAACAGCCTTGTAAGGTAGACTATTATCATTTTCACTTACTGCCCCATCTCAGGGTTTGGATCAGATTTTTTCAGGGTTTTTAGCTTCCTCCTCTAGTCTCGAATTTGGAGAAAATATCAGGGTGACAGGGCAGAAATCACAAAATAAGACATTAAAATCAAGAAAACGTAAAAATCATTCAAACACATAGACTTTTTGAACAATGAGGAACCAAGCTGAACCTCCTGTAGGACATTTCACAGCCTAGGCATCACCACCGATAAGGCCCTGCTATTAGTCACTTCACCACAAGTTTCACACAATGGCAGGACTGCCAGCAGAGCCCCCTCTGCAGATCTTTATGGACAGGATGGCAGATACTCCTTTGAGTTTTGGGACCCAAGTCATTTAGAGCTTTATATGTCAGTATCCAAATCTTGAATTGGGACCAATAGTGAACAGGCAGTCAGTACAGTTCATGCAGGAATCAGGCAGTTCCAGTAAGATATATAATATTCCAGTCTCTAAGTTTCCAGAACATGAATTGGTGTGGCAAAGATATCTGGATCCAGGAAGCAGCCAAACCAGTTGGATCTCAGCAGAGGCACTCCTGGCTACTGAAGCCAGCTAGCAACATTACGTGACTTTAATGGCATTTAATGACTTCATGGCCAAGAAGGGATTTGACACCAGCTGGTTTTATACTGAAATTACAGTCAAACCAAATACCCTGCTGTGGCCCAAACAGCTTGCAACTCACCAAGCTCAATGTTATGTACTGAAGTTCTTACCCTGGGCCAGCAGGGGGATATTGTAAATAGTTTTCACTCAGGTCCACATATGCAAATAAGGGATTGAAAGTGACGTTCAGTGATTGGATAGTTACAGAAAATGGTTACTGTTGCGTTCTAGTGGAGCTCTATATAAGCAGGCTGGCTGAACCCTTCAGTTCAGTTCTGTTCTGGCCTGTGAATAAACAAGAGCTGTTTGAAGAATCGCTGTGTCGTCTGATATGTTCACCCACAACTTAACACGCAAGGCAGGCCCCCCCTTCAAAATCTCAGCATTGTGGTCTTTCAGGTACTTGAGAACCCACAGACCCCCACATACACTAGTTTTCAGGGGGTGGGGCAAAAATATTTGAGTGGTGGAATGACAAGATTTTCAGCAATGTTTTAAGGCCCATTCTTGGATGAATTTGAGGTTAGATTACAGAAAGGAAAAGCCCAATATTCTATGTGCTTAAGTTAGCCAAGCATTCATGAGCAAAGTTCTAATGTCCCTCAAGCCAGGAGCGAAACTAGGTTTCATTCACCCAGGTTGAAGACCCAGTTAGGCACCCCAACACACACACACACACACACACACACACACACACACACTTGCATAAATGCACAGGCTGGGAGCCTCAGTGGTGCCCCCTAGAGGCTTAACCCAGGGCAGTAAGAGCTGTTAACATCTGGGCCCAGCTATGTGGCAAGGCTCAGTCTTGATTTGGTGTTTGGGGCTCGTTTGAATAAAGGCGAGGTGGAGGGTGGGGGACTCCTTTGTTCCTTTCTTGTGGGTAGATCACTGGAAGGTAGAGCTTAGGATCACTGCGAATCCTAACTCAACAGGAATGGAGGACCACGCCAAAGACTGATGGACCCAGACTGTTTCCTGATGTTTCCAGGAGATTTATTACATCTATTACACTGAATTACTGACATGTGTTCTCCATGAAGCTACCTTTGGGGGAACATCTAGGATAGTGCCATATGAAGTTGTGTCGCCTTTGACAGGAGCCAATTGTTTGAAGCATCAGACTTGGTCAGTACACCATCTGCCTTGGCTTCTGGGTCATTTCCAGACTCAGTTCAAAGTCCTGCTCACTCCCTTGAAAGCCCTCCTGATATGCGAGTCTGCCCATTCTCTGAGGTTATCTAGAGAGGCTTTGCTGCATATTGTGTTGGTTTCTGAGGCTCAAAATGGCAGGTGCTTGGAACAGGGCTTCTCAGTTCTTGAGCTGAGGCTTTGGGAATATCCTGCCCTGGAAGATCCATTTGGCATTCTGTTTAAGACCAAATCCTTGGACAGCTCCACACCATACATTGGAACACACATGATTTTCCTCAAAGAATTCTGGGAACTGTAGCTTCTTGAGGATGCTGGGAAACAATTCTCAGAGAACTACGGTTCCTAGGGTACTTTAGGGAGGGTCATCTGAGTTTCAGCCTATTTCATTGAGCTGCCTTGAGCGTGTCAAACTGAGGCAGAAAGGTGAAATACAAACTCTCATCACTAACTAAAAGACAACATGTCTTGCGAGTATGTGTTGCACTCACTTCTTTGTAACTCACATAATGTTGTAGAAAAGGGAACAGCAGCTGGGACTAGCCAGTAAGGAAGGCAGCGAAGGATGGCAGGCTCTACATGGCTACTTGGGAGTAAGCCCTGCTCAACCCACAGGGGGCTGGGTTTGCCTGTGTAGGGTTGCTTACTATGAGTGAGTTGGCTGAGCTCCGGAACATTTTCATCTGGGGCAAGGAAACATAAAAGAGGCAAGAGGGAAAACGCTGGCTGAAGCATCCCTGGAAGAGAAAGAGGAGGAACCTGGCTACTGAGGAAGCACAGACTTCCAGTATAAAGTGGGAACAGCAAGTAGGAACAGGCTGTGGCTGCAAGGGGGGGGGGATCTGCCATCCTTCCTGATACAAGCTCTACCTTCAGCTTAGCCAGGTCATAAAATAGGGCTATAAATAGTTGACAGTGGCTCTCAAGCACCATTTTACAACCAGCTGGGAGTACAGATTTGAACTTTCTTCCTTTATAAGGCCCCAGCAAAAAGTACAGAAGGAGGGGCTGAAACTGGCTCAGTGCAGCAGCTCTTGAAGAGGAGCGCTTGACCCTTTCCCTCATGGCAACATCACCCGTCCAATCTTGCAGCGCAGCGGGTGGGTCTTTCCATTCAGCTGCGCCTGTTTGGTGCGCCACCTTCCTGATGCACTTGCGCTCACTGCTAAAACACAATCCCAATGTGAGCCTATGCACAATGGCATTGCTGGTCATTAAGGCACACGCGTGCTTTTGTGCACAGATAAAAACACAGCAATAACAAAAGCAAAGTTGGTTGTATCAATCAGGTGGGACGCAGGTGGCGCTGTAGTCTAAACCACTGAGCCTCTTGGGTTTGCCGATCAGAAGGTCAGCGGTTCAAATCCCCACGACGGGGTGAGTTCCTGTTGCTCTGTGCCAGTTCCTGCCAACCTAGCAGTTCAAAAGCACGTCAGTGCAAGTAGATAAATAGGTATCTACTGCTGCGGCAGGAAGGTAAACGGCTTTTCCGTGCGCTCTGGTTTCCATTACGATGTCCCGTTGTGCCAGAAGTGGTTTAGTCATGCTGGCCTGTGGACAAATGTGGCTCCCTCTGCCTGAAAGCAAGATGAGCACCGCACCACATAGTCAAGTTTGAGGGGACTTACCCGTCCTGGAGTCCTTACCTGTATTGATCATCTTTTTGTATAGCGGCCAGTGGATGGTCTCAAAGCAGGACTCCCCAGCAGTCAGTCTCCTGCAAGCCTCTCTGCTTCAAGTGCACCATCTAAGCGCAACGCTGGCTGGCCTGAACACCCAGTCAGCAGACCTCAAGGACTAGTCCTTTTCTACCAGACCCCAAATTTGCCTGGCTGCAATACTGCCTAATTGCCTGTTTCTGGTCCTGCCTGGTTTTGACTATCCACATGCCTGTGGAACTTCTGGACCTTGTTTGCTGTTCTGGAAATGGACCTCTTTCTAGGCTTGACAATATACCTGCCCACTTGGTACTTGTTTTTCTGGAGCCTGACCCTCGCCACAGCTCAGCATGTACAATGTGCAGGAGCAGGTGGATGCACATTGGTAAAACCAACATAGACTTGCAATATGGATATACTGATGAACAATCACCCTGAGGGTTAGGAGGCGGCTGCCATTCAGGCTGGGAACATGTTGCTGGGAGAATAATAATTATTATTATCTTATTTTATTTTATTTTTTTACATAGAGTTAACCCTTGTCCCCAGCTTTGTATCTACCATTTTCTAGAATTAAATCACCCACCACCACACAGCTGCATTAAACAAAACAAAGCAAAAGCCCCAAAGAAGAACACGTTGGCCGGTCTCCAACCTCAGGTCTCGTCTGGCTCTGAGCCAGCCTTTATGGATGATCCGCTCGTTTGGTCTTCATTCAGAGCCTGGAGGTTTGTAAGGCTTGTTTCGAAACCCATCACCAATTCAGCTTTGGCCAGAAACAACAGGAGTTTCCCTTCTTTTATGTTTTTCTTTTCACAGGAGGAGACAATTTGAAAGATTGCATTTCCCAAATATTATGTCACATCATTATCCAGAACATACGGTGCACCAGCGGAATCTTACACAGGTCTACTCAGAAGTAGGTCTTCTGGAAGTCCTTGAGCACCATAGGGCTTGCTCCTAGGTAAGTGGGTCTACAATTACAGTCTGTGCTGTATTACTTCAAGCAGGCAGTCAAGCAAGCCTCTTGCAGTGTGCAGGGACCTCTTCCCTGCATTTAAAAGTAAAGTTGACAGTTGCTTTAAATTAGAGTGGCTGGCTCAAGTTCAAGGCAGCGAGTGGGTGTTTATTTAGCTGAAGAAGACAGTTGCAAAACTTGGGAATCAAGCTCCAAATGAATGCAGAGAAACCTATTATTTGACAGAAAGACACCTCTCCTTGTTTTTGGAAGGACTTTTACTCATTTGGGACAGCTATATTTGCGTGAATTTTAACCAGTATGTTGCAGCTCCAAAGGAAACATACGGTTTTGCTGGGAAAGCTGAGATCAGTGGCTCCGAAGCAAGGTAAGAAGAAAGTGGCTTTGTTGCAAAACTTTTTCAAACAACAATTAATGAAGGGAACAAAAATGGAGAGGGCTAAGATTCAAAATGCAGGTTTGTGCAAAATAATAGCTGGATTCCAGTGCTGTAAAGTTGCTGCAGAAGTTGTGTTTACCTTAAATGCAGAGTTGTATATCCCAATAAAATAGGAACATTCCTTTCAGAGCAAACAGGGCTTGTAAGAGCCCTCTGTTGTACAAACAGAACAACTTAGTTTATAGCAGAAGTGCTTCCATTTTTGCAAGTAAGTCCCACCGTGTTCAATGATTCTATTTGGGAGGTTGTGGGCTCCCCTTCCTTGGAGGTTTTCAAGCAGAGGTTGGATGGCCATCTGTCATGGATGCTCCAGTTGAGATTCCTGCATTGCAGGGGGTTGGACTAGATGACCACTGGGGTCCCTTCCAACTCTACAATTCTATGATTCTATGAGACTACTGGCTAAGGCTTCAATCCTTGCCCTGCTTATCTGGGAGTAAGTCCTAACGGAATTCACTTGGACTTACTTGTGAGTAGATATGGTTAGGATTGTGCTGTAAACGTGCTTCAGGTTACAGCTTTAATTATATTAGGCACTGGATGTTAACATTTGAGACTTCTGGATTTCAGTGAAGGGGCTAGGGGGTTTTTTTGTTTTTTAATTGCACAAAACCTTTTGGATGTTGCTATAAGAGTTTGGGCTTGGTACGGAAGGTAAGTTTCTCTATTAATTAAGAGGAGGAAATGGGTGCTTTCATATATTTTATATGCATATTAACAGAATGACCCTTTGGAGAGGAATGTGTAAATGATGAAGAACATTTTAATTTTAAAAAATTATAATTAAAGGGGACACAATACAACCATAGTTAAACACCTTTTGTGTTCATTTGCTTTCAAAGAGAATTGAGATCAGCAGGGTTTAAAACTGCTCAATTGCTCTTTCCTTTTTTTTATTTAAAAAAAGGCATACATATTTGGTTTGGCTTCTCTCATTCCTTTACCAACTGACTTGAATGTTTCTGGTTTTGCTTTCCCATGAAAGATGTGAACATAATTCCAAACATTCCCTTTAGCTCAGTTGCTATGGCTCCTCGTGCACTTGTTTTTCTAACTGCTCTGTAAATACAAAATAAACGATAAGGCTTTGGAGTCATGCTTTAGCAAAGTTTGAGCAATCCCAAAACAGTTCTCTTTCTCTCTCTTAGAGACACACACACAGAGAGAGAGAGAGAGAAAGAGAGAGAGAGAGAGAGAGAGAGAGAGAGAGAGAGAGAGAGAGAGAGGTCAAGCATCATTTGAAACATCTATCACAACATGTTAAAGCAGCAGAACTTACTGAGCTTTCTTGATATTTGAAGGATTGCAGCTGCTTAACACTTGGTGGGAGAAAACATGCCAGAATGAAAGGAAGTCTTCCATTCTCTGCTCACACCCTCTTACAAAGTGTGAGATGTAGGTTGTGTACACATGAGCATTTACTTTGGCACCTGTGTGCTCCCACTCCTCCTCTTTGAAGCTGAGTACACATGCAGTTGGCCATAACCCAGATGTTTGCCGCAGTTCCTTGAGAAATACTCCTGTTTGGAGCCTTTCCCCTCAAACCAACTTCCATTTAACCTGAAAACGTAAGTCACAATTACAAACCCTCCAGGTATCCCTATTTTCCAGGGACAGTCCTAGATTTACAGAAGACACCCCGGTTTCTGATTTGATTCCAGAATGTCCTGCTTTTCTTAGGATGTCCCTATTCTCATTGGAGGGTACGTCTGGAGTTCTGAGACATCCCGAGCCAAGGAAATAACTACACAACCTTTAGAAAACATCTGAAGACAGCCCTGTATAGGGAAGTTTTTTAATGTTTCATGTTTCATTGTTTTTATATATGTTGGAAGCCACCCAGAGTGGCTGGAGCAACCCAGTCAAATAGGCAGGTGATGATAATAATAATAATAATAATATGTCCCTATTTTCATCGTAGAAATGTTGAAGAGTATGCAGTCAAGCTGAGGTGTGTATATCTGAGGCAGCCGTTGCATGTGTGCAGATGACACCTTCATTGAATAGGCATTTGGGAGCATTGCAGGTGCAGGAAAACAAATAAGGTAATGTGCGTCAGGTGTGTGCAGTAACAGCCTCCCTACATTTTAAGCCACTATAAATCTCACTGAGAGATTTATAGCTCAAGCCTATACATGTCTACACAGACATAAGTACCATCATTTTCAGTAAGGCTTACTCCCAGGTAAATTCTATACCACTTTGTTCTATACAATACAAGATTGCAGCTTTCTTTTACTTAATAACCAGGGCAGGAAACAGTCAGTCAGATTTCGTTGTCATTATAAATAAATTGACAATTTAAGCCCAAGGCCTAGTTTATACACCCAATAAAATCAAGTACTGTAATAAAACTTTCCCTGGTCTGTGTGACTTTAGACTGCAGATTCCCTGGTGGAGGAAGGAGTCTGTCTTTGTATATCTGGACGTTCCAAGGGTGCCTTTTCAAACATGGGGGGATTTCAGTTAGAGGTTGCACAGTTTGAAAGCATGCACCTGCATCTATTCAAAATTAAATGTTTTAAAGTTGTGCATTTGAAGAGCATTGGTTATAGTTTTTTCCTCATCCTTTTTGTTGTTGTTGTTTAGTCGTTTAGTCGTGTCCGACTCTTCGTGACCCCCTGGACCAGAGCACGCCAGGCACTCCTGTCTTCCACTGCCTCCCGCAGTTTGGTCAAAATCCTTTTTGTACCTAACAATAAATGAGAGCAGAGGTGTGAGTCCTTAGCTTATAGTCACTGTGATGTGCACACCTTATTTGGGTTTTCTCGATAAGCAAAGCAATTTGTTCCTTCCTAGATCACATTTTGCCACCTTTTGAAATAGCTTCTATAACTGTGGTGGGGGCTAGAGACCCCCACCACATGGCAAAGATCTATGCATGTACTGATGCTCTCATGTAGAGTCCCTTCATATCATGTTAACTGAAGCATTTGGAATTGGAGGTGCCTACTGTGTGCAGGGGGACGCGGGTGGCGCTGTGGGTTAAACCACTGAGCCTAGGACTTGCTGATCAGAAGGTTGGCGGTTCGAATCCCCGTGACAGGGTGAGCTCCTGTTGCTTGGTCCGTGCTCCTGCCAACCTAGCAGTTCAAAAGCACGTCAAAGTGCAAGTAGATAAATAGGTACCGTTCCGGCGGGAAGGTAAACGGCGTTTCCATGCACTGCTCTGGTTTTGCCAGAAGCGACTTTAAAGATTGAATCTTCCTTTTGGACACAATTTGAATGAGTTTTCTGTTTGTGGCTTCTGTAGTAGATCTTGTACCTTGTTCTCTCAATTTTTGGATTATTAATATAAGATTTAGAACGTAGAATGGCCGCTTATGTGCTGATTACTTCATACTGGTCTACTACGCGTATTGGCAGCATAGGTTCATTTCTTCAGTTCTTAAATTACCTGTAACAGCTGCAGGGGACTCACATGTTTAAACCTGAGGCGGCCCCGGTCATGTAAGAAGCAGGCAGCAGGAGTCTCCCTAGATGTCCTAGTGCTTAGAGCCAAAAGACCAAGTATAAGCTCTCATGGACTCTGCCCACGAGTAGACCTGGGTTTCAGTTAAGCAGACAAGTCTGCCATTATATATCTACTTGATCCCAATACTGGCCATGGGCAAGTGCAGTCTTCATAACTGAGTCACTGTCAGGAGAAAAGATGGAATATAAATGAATATCATCCTCATCAGAGGCACAAGCTTAGACATCCTGCTTTTGGGGGTGACCCACCTGGCAGCTGAAGTTGGCATTGCTTCAATGGAGACACCACATCTCACTGAAATGTGTCCCCCGAAAACGTCTGCCTAGTGCCCATGTTTGTATATTTTAGATGGCCAGAAAAGAGTATTTTGCTTCCCTGGGCATTTTTCTGAATGACTTTGGGATTTCCTGCTGGCTTAGTGCTACCAGTTTTGGTGCTATTTTAACATTTGGCTTGTCTTTATTCATATAATTGTCATGCTAGTTTTGTATAGCTTTCCATCATAGACGCTCAATATGTGGTTTAAAAACAGATAATTATCACAGTAATAAGTTCATCTCTTTAAATTTGATGTTGTAAGCTAATTTGAATGTAGATGATGGAAAGCTGGAATAAAAGTATTTTAATTAAATAATAGCAGACTTCTCCAACCCATCTTTTGCTCAGCTGTGCCCTAACCCTGCAGAATACAGGTGTGCTTAAAGAAAGAAGACATCTTTGCTGTCTATAGAAAACTAACATCCCAGAGAATAGCTTTATAGGCCTGAGTTTTCTCTGACTCACCATTTTTCTTTACGGGCACCTAGTTTCCCCACCTGCAGTCTGAAGAGGTGCAGGTCCATCACACAAGTCTGCTGGTATTGTAGATTAGCCCCTGAGTCAGGCAAAAGACCTGTTTACTAAAACTTGTAGCAGCTATTGAGGGCTGCATGCGCTGATTGTTACCTTGACTAGCCCACATTTTACCAGCTTCTTTGCAAGGATATCATGGGGCACTTTGTCAAAAGCCTTACTAAATTCAAGATATACTATGTCCTCAGCATTCCCCTGAACCATCAAGCTCGTAACTCTATCAAAGAAAGAAAGAAATGAGATTTGTCTGGCACGACTTGTTTTGTGAGAAACCCATGGAACTGTAGAGTTGAAAGGGACCCCAGGGATCATCTAGTCCAACCCCCACAATGCAGAAATATGCAGCTGCCTATACAGAGATCAAACCTGCAATCTTGGAATTATCAGCACCATGCTCTAACCCAGGCTTCCTCAACCTCGGCCCTCCAGATGTTTTGGCACTACAATTCCCATCATCCCTGACCACTGGTCCTGCTAGCTAGGGATCATGGGAGTTGTAGGCCAAAAAACATCTGGAGGGCCGAGGTTGAGGAAGCCTGCTGTACCCAACTGAGCTATCATGTAAGGGCATGAGGGTCATTTTGCTGGAAAACATTTAGAATGTGCTCCATCCATTTGCCCACACTACCAGTGGTTGTTTTAAGCAGCCGGGGCAGGCAAAAATAGAGAATGCAAATGGGAAGGCTCAAGCTTCCAAGAATCTTATCCACATCCTTGGGTAGAAAAAGCTGCAAAGTACCCACACTAACAAAACCAGGCAGAAACCTCCAGCACATCCACTAACTCTACAGTCAACTTGAAGTCTTCGGTTGGAGCAGATGGGTGGTGTTTTTTCTGCCAAGTGTTTTGCAAACTAGTCACAAGGGGCCTCTCAGAGTCCTACTCCACCTTACAAAGGCCAGGAAATATATATGAGACCCTTCATCGCCCCTCAGAACTGCTTTCACCGCCAACACTCTGCAGATATAGAGATGGAAGGAAGATTTCTTCACTTCCTTCAGGCTTGAAATGAGCTCTCAGCTGAGTCTTACCCCATCTGTCACCCTTGTGTTTTCATCATTCCCACCAGGAGATGTTTGTAAGCTCTCCCAATAATAATCAGAGGGGTTTTTTTTTGGGGGGGTGGCTCCCAACACTATCCCAGAGACCCCTCCTGCCGACTGAGACAGTGACACTATTGGTTTTCTCCTTTGGATCTGGTGATAGATCTTTTGTAATCCCATCAGTGTTTTAAAAAATCAGAATGTTATTGTGTGGGTGGTCTTCCAAGATATACCAATCCCTCATGTCTGTGTCTAATTCCCCCTGTTCCCTACACACCCCTGCAAAACAAAAAAAAATAAAAAATCAGAGACAAGAGCTATGACCTTTTTCATTATTGCTACGATCTTCTGTTGCTTTTTTGATGATGATGACCTCATGGCTAAAACTGCAGGACATTGAATCCTTTCTGCCTAAGGGTTAAAATTATAATGTTCCAACTGCCTAATTTAATCTAGATACTTGTTCCCATTGATGAAGAGCTCTTTTATGGTGAAATTTTTGCTCCCAGTTTGTGTCCGTACTGCAAAATACCATGATGCTGTAGCCTTATGGTTAAGGCCGGCCAATCAATCAATCAGTCAGTCAGTCTGGACAGGCTTCCTCAACCTTGGCCCTCCAAATGTTTTGAAACTACAATTCCCACCATCCTAGCTAGGGATTATGTGAGTTGTGGGCCAAAAACACCTGGAGGGCCGAGGTTGAGAAAGCCTGGAGAAGACTATTGCTGAAAATATAAAGAGCTGTCCTAGTCCTCCTCAGAGTAGACCCATTGAAATTAATGAACCTAACTTAGTCATGTCCCTAAACATCAGTAGGTCTTCCATACTCTCCAAGTGTCCCTATTTTCCAGGGATAGTCCCGGAATTACAAAAGCCATTCAGGCTTCTGATTTGCTTTGTGTGTCCGTGTCTAGTCTTGCCCCGTTCTAAAATTTATTTATTGGTGTGTGCTTTTCTATTTGCAAATCTACCAAAGAATAAAACCAAATCAGGATTAAGGGGTTTTCTCAGGACGGTGGATGGTGTGTACGCTGTGTCCCGTTGGTGGTGGGAATACTCTGTGGCGACAAAAAATGGGGGGTTGAGGAGGGTCAGTTGCGGCGGAGTGAGAAATCTCCCTGTTTCCATCTGAGGGATGTTGGAGGGCATGGTCTTCTCTGAGTAGGGCTTGTGTTGAATGCCACCTTTTAAGGTCTGCTGATGAAGGTTTGAATGTGGTGAGGCCAGAGGAAAAGTGGGGGGAGGTATCTTTAGAGGAGGGACAGCAACAGTCTGCCTCAAAGACTGCATTGCGTGCAGCCAAAAGGGTTCTGGCAAACTAATTTTAGCTCTCCTGATTTCTAAAGGCCACCTGGCTTAATTGTGCTCTAACCCAACATCTGTTTCAATTGCTGATGTGGGAAGCTTCAGTCTTCATGGAAGATAATGAAGCGGGATGAATATAATGGCCTCACATTTAAAATGTTTTTAATTAGGCAGAAAGATTTGTCAGTGGCTGAAGATGCAGAGTAGCGTATTGTGCTCTGATTGTGCTTGGTTATTTATGTTTATATGCCACTAGTATGTCGGGAATAGCAAGTTTCCTTTATGATCCCCATCAGTGGCCTTAGTCAAAATGCATGGTTCATCGGAATAAGGCCAATTTGTGCAAAAGCCATGATGCAGTGACATCTTATCCAGGAATTAGTTTTAAAAGCCTGGCTAGTCAGTGTACAGAACTGCAGTGTTTAACTTTGGCTAGGCAGTGCTTGGGGCAGTTTCCTTCCCTGAATTTGAAATCGTAATAATAATGTTCTCTTTGAGATCAGTAAATGTGAAGTCAGTTTCCACCTGCTTGATTGTACTATTGTGTGTCACATGCTGTGTTCAGATACTGCTTTGCCAAATCTAATACAACAAGGAGCAAGGAGCAATGGGCTTATGGCTTGTCCCTGCCTGCTGGTTGCACAAACAATCCCAAACCTGGAGTACAGGAGAGGACAGACCACAGGGTCAGGGAAATTTAAGGTACAGGCAGGTGCCATGTCTCCTTAACTGGGTGTTAATGTTCTGTGTCTGGTTGTGGAGTCAGTATGAGGGCAGGCTAAGGCCCAAGACTCATCCTTCTCTTATGCCAGATGAACATGCCTGAAGCTAACAGCTGTGGAAGTAGTGCTCAGTTTATTTTTACAACTCTCTCTCTTATAATAATGCAAAGTTGTAGTTCACAAAGGGTGTGGATTTCAGGGTTTCTGTTAAAGGAAATGAATATTGGAATCTTACTTTGGAGATCTGGGAAACACGAGACATATAATACTAAAAGCAATGCTAAAATAAACACAAGGAACGGTGGACATCCATCTGGTGTGGGTGGGGGCTCTCAACTTTCTGTCACACTCAATCAATAAAAAGAACCCCCCGGTCTTGAAGGTAATCTGGTAGGAGCACCCTTGATTATCGGTTGCAGGAGCAGCAGGGGCAAAGCACAAATGTGCCCCTTCACGCCGCCGTGTCCTTGAGCAGCCTACTTTTCCTTCTGCCATATGGGGGTTGTCCTTCAGTCTTCTGCAGGGCAGGGGGGTTAAAGATCTGGGCTGTTGAAGAGAAGGCAAATCTGTCCCCTGCCTCTTGGTTCTGCATGGTTTGCCCCCCACCCCACAGGCATTCTGCAGGTGGATTCAATGCACAAGCACTTTCCACAAATGTGCTCCACTGCTTATGGCAGATATTTTGCCAGAGTACTTATACTGGCTTCTGTTTAACCCATGTACTATTTGGGCTTCATCTGTTGCAAATGCCATGCCTTGCTGACCTAAGAATTTATTCCAGCTGTCTGTTGGCAGGTAACGATAGCTTATAGCTGTTGTTATGAGTTGGGTAGGCTGTATGCTGAGACCCTTCTAACCCCTAGGTCCCCGCAAGTGTTAAAATATGAGCTAGCTTCCTGATGAGGCAATTGCCTGAGCGATGGGCCATTAAGGGGAACAAAGGAAAGGGGCTCTGTGCAAGATGGAAAATGGGCAGGGGAGCCCATCCCTCAGCTCACATATAGTTAGAAGGACGAAGCCAGAGTTTAGTGTTGCAATGATGTGAGCTAGAGGGATAGCAGCAAGCTGGAGAAAGAATCAGACTTGTGTTTGATTTCCATTTGAATCCAAGGCTGTGGCTATGGGATACAAATGCTGTGAACCCCTCTATTGTTGGCTTAGACACCACAGTCTCTGCTGTGCTTCATTCCAAAGGAAACGCGAACCCTGGGTAAGCACCTCGAACCCCTGGAATCTCGTCCTGCTCAAAGACTGGGGTTGTGTGCAACAATGTGTTTAAATGAAATGAGGACCACCCCTGGCTATTCTCGGCTCACAACCTTTTCTGGAACACTCTCAGAATCTGGAAAGCAAAGTCTGTGCCATAAGCCAGAACATCTGGGGAAAGACTGTTTAAAAAATAATAATGGAGAGAATTATTGCAATTGTGCACTCTTGCCAGAGTGCTGGATATGGATTGGGAAAGCCTGGCGCTGACTTTGGGCAAGGCTCCCTTAGCCTAACGTAACCTCTCATAATTGCTGTGGCGATAAAATTGGATTGTCCTCTTGCCTTGGAGAAAGGGTGGGAGACAGGTGTGCTGAAGGCATAGCTGCTAGCTGCATGGTAGTACATGACTGTTGGAACCTGTCATTTCTTTAGCAGGGGCAGCTAACCTGTGACCCCCTCAGATGTTGCTGAACTACAACCCCCATAATCCTTCACCATTGGCCATGCAGGCTGTGGCTGATGTGAGTTAGAGTCACCCGAAAATCTGAAGGGCCAGTTGGGGCATGGGGCAGGAGGGTCACCTGGCTCGGGGCCTCAAGTTCAAAGAAGGCTTCAGATTCAGGAACTTGTTACATTTTTTGGCGTTTGTAAAGTTTCACAACTTGTTTCTATGCACATGGGACCAACATGTGGCAGACACACTCTCAGCTTAGAGATGCAAATGTAAGGAAATAAGAGGCGTGATTTGGTAAAAGTAAGGCTGCCATATGTCCAGGAATCGGACTGTCAAAATGGCGTCCATATGTCTGGGGAAACCTGGACGTATGGCAACTAGGGCGATTTTTAAAAGAAAAATGCTGTAAAAATCCCAGTTTTGGGAATATGGCAAATCTAAAATGCTCTTTGTTTGTTAACTGTTATAGACTGATATGGTCTGCTCCCAAGACAGAATGTTTCCGAAAACTGGAGTTGTTCTCCTGATAAGTGGAAATCTCTCTGCAGCTTCTGCAATGTAAAACTATATTGACTACCTCTTTCAGCTAGCTGGAGAAGAAAGAGGGAGGGAGACAGCCTGGAGCTCTTTTCAGCTAGAACCCAGAGACTGAGGGAGAATTTCTAATTGTTAGCTGACTGGAGAGGAAGTATCCTTGGAAGACAATTGTTCTCTTTGTGGACTGAGTGCATGATTAGTAGTTGTGCTGCCTGCTGAAAGCATCGGTGCTGTTTCCACCATGCTCTGCTTGCTCATGAGTAAATACAGCAAATATAAAAAGCTGCTCTCTCTCATCCAAATAACCCTAAACATTGTAGTGTGGTGCCTGGATTTCTCACTCCTTGAATAAATTGCAGCATATCAAATCTAAAAGTACTAACATTAAAGTGCAGACGATCTCTTGGGAACATTTGTTCCATTTCCATAGAAATGAAACTGTCAGCAAACTTTTTAGCACAGCTCAGTTAAAATTGGCAAAGAGCCAGACAACAAATGTTTTGGGGGCCAGGACTGGTCTCTGTGTTTCTATCGCTTCATTAGATAATATCTCGGTTCCTCAAAAAGTCAACACTTCAGCGCACCTTCCCCCCACAAAATGTCCCTATTGTGACCATCAAGGCATACCTAGAGGGTGATGTCCTGTCTAAAAGCATGCCGGCTAAAACAAAGAGTCCAAGATCGTCTTTATTTATTCTGTCTGGTTGGATTTGGCTGTGTTTTCCATTTTAAAAACATCCTAACGTCATGCCCTATGGACCAGTGGGTGGTTTCCCATACCTTCTGTATGAGGTGAAGTGACATGCAAAGCAAGTTTGGCATCCAGATTTGCCGAGTGAAGGGGATGCCATATCAGCTTCCAAATTCATCAACCACATTATTTAGTTGAGGGTGGAGGGGGCACCTAGCTATTTTAAACGATACGTGTAGCAGGGCTGTCCTTTGCATATGCAAATGCTTTTGTTTTTCCCATGTTCGACTGACCTCTGAGGTTTTTCTGGAATGTGCTCGGGATTCTCAGAAATTAAAGCTAGATGATCCCATAGGAAGAAAAAAGCCTTGTTTGGACTAAGGCTGCCAAGATATCCTTAAAAGGAAGGGTCTGCCTGACACATAGCACTGAAAGCATTTTGTGGCAGTTTTGGCCTCTGCTGGAACTCAGGACTCGCTATGCCAAATATCCACGGGAGGTTCCAGTCTTTCAGGCCCTGCAAGCACCACACAAGGTTTGTAGAGCTATATCCAGTGTTTCCCAAACTTGGGTCTCCAGCTTGATGTTGGATTACAGCTCCCATCATCCCTGACCAAGTTTGGTCTTGCCAGCTAGGGATGGTGGGGTTTGTAGTCCAACAACAGCTAAGGGACTCAGGTTTGAGAAACACTGCGTATTAAGTCATTATAAGCAATAAGAGCTCACCCGGTTTTAAAAACAAACAAAAAATCTGGGGCAAATCCCCCAGCTTTTAATGTTTAACAGACTATGGTATTTTAATATTTTGTTGGAAGCCACCCAGAGTGGCTGGGGAAACCCAGCCAGATGGGCAGTATTAAGTTGTGGGTGAACATATCAGACGACACAGCGATTCTTCAAACAGCTCTTGTTTGTTCACAGGCCAGAACAGAACTGAACTGAAGGGTTCAGCCAGCCTGCTTATATAGAACTCCACTAGAATGCAACAGTAACCACTTTCTGTAACTATCCAATCACTGAACGTCAATTTCAATCCCTTATTTGCATATGTGGACCTGAGTGAAAACTATCTACAGTATCCCCCTGCTGGCCCAGGGTGAGAACTTCAGTACATAACAGGCAAGGTATAAATAATAAATTATTATTATTATTATCATCATTATCATTATCATCATCATCACAAGGTTCTCTCTTAGAGAAGGCACACTTAAGTTGATGAGAACCACACAAGAGCTCACAGCCATTTCAATGGGGACTAAGAAGGTGAAATTCCAGTAAAGTGAGACAAACCCAGGGCCGGCCCAAGACATTTGGACACCTGAGGCAAAATAGCACCCCCCCTCCCCTTCAGGGAAGAGGAGGTAAGTGAAGATCTACATCTGGATTTGCTGCCCCTGTGAATCCTTCTGCCTGAGATCACCTCCCCTTGCCTGGTGGGTGGGCAGCCCCCATCCCACCCATAGAGTGCCACCCACTTCCATCTCCGGCCATAACCTTCGCTTACAGACAAAGGTGAGGAGTAATATAGAGTAAAACAAAGTACCTCTGAGTGTATACAGAGTGCCTTCTTTCACCAGTGAGCAAGACATAATCCAAGTGCTAGCGGCGATTCAGGTAACAGAATTTGTTTGTGGGTGGATTTTTAAAAACATGAACAGTAATTTTTATTAAGGTTTTATATATTGCTATACAATATAATAAGGGAAACAAATGCAGAATAAGACAAAATAAACAATCCATTGTTTGTGGGTGGGGTTCAAAATAGCAACGCCATAGAGAAATGGAAAAGAACTTCTGAAACATCTCTGGCATTGGAACATGAAATTAAAGAGATCAGTCTGAGAGGTCAACTCATTTTAAAATATATCCAGTAACATAGCCATGGAAAGACCAGACTCTCTCAGAGATATTCTAAGGCCCTTCGCCAAATGTTCAGCATCCTTATCTTTTTAATCAAGTTTTCTTCCCCTTTACTTAGAAAGATATCAGGAAAAGTGTGCAGGGAGTATTCTACCCAACTGCTCACTAAGATCTGGTGTACACATGAAACCAGGTGAGCAAAAAAGGACTAACCCACGCAGTGTAAATGTACTGGGGTCTCATTTAACTCAGGTGCTCAGCTTCTGTGCATGTTTTGTTAGGATCCCAGCACAGCACACACGCAGGCTATGGGTCCCTGATGTGGGGTGGTAGCCCTGTTTGTTTCCATGCCAACTTTCCCCCAAGGAACTCAAAGCAGTTGCAGGATTTTCCTTTCCCAAGTTTATCCTCTCAACAATCCTGTGTGGTCAGTTAGGCCAATTGGTTCAAAGTCACCCATTGAGCTGAAAAGGATGCAAATCTGGGTCTCCTCAGTCACAGTCTGACACTAACCACTACATCACACTGCCAGGCTGTGAACCTCCAGCCTGTGGGCTAAAAATGACCCACCAGGCCTCCCCATCCAGCCTGCCATTTCAGGTGTGGGGCAGCTACCAATGTAACTAGAAGGAAACAACAATCACATGGGGGATGTGGGGAGCACACCTTGCTCCAATCGCACCAAGCGGTTTCTGTCGAAACCAGTGCGAAAATGGAGCAAAAAAGCTCTGTTTTAGCAGCAGTTTCAATGGCTTGCCACTGTTGGAGCAGCCAAGTGCTCCAACCAAAGGTGAAAGCTGTCTGTGTGTCCACACGTTGCTTGTGGATAGAACACTTAATCTTTGCTCTTGACTGGTAAGAGCAGACATAATGGATTATGAATAGAAACAGAAATGTGGGTAATTAATTGGCTCCAAAGGAGGCGAGATAGTCCAAAGATTTGCTCTGAGAATATCCTGAGAACAGGATAGGTCAGATGTAGCTATTCTAGACTACTCTTTGACTCTTAATGCTGTTTTTCAGAAGCTCTGCCCAGATGTTCAGCTGTGTAGGCAACTGAACACAGTAAGTTGAGGGGAAGGAAGGAAAGCAGGACTATTTCATAGTCACTGCCGAGAGACCAGCTACCTTTGGCTCTCTGCAATAATCACCTGCTAGCAGCTGTTCCAGAAAGCTGCAAAGAAGCAAACAGGACTATTCTTTTACCTCTGCTGACAGATCAGCTGCCTTTGGTCCCTCGTGGCAGCCATTCCAGCAGACTACCTGAACTGTTCCCATCCTGGGTGGTCGTTACAAGAATGGTAATATTAACAACTGATGCCCAAGCTTGTTTTTTCCTCCCTCCCTCCCTGTGCCCTTTTCCTTATGTGTTGTGCCTGCAAAATAGACAGCGATCCTGTAGTAAGATACACACCTCCCTGTGTATGCAAGCAACTTTTTCAGTTTCTTTGTGAGTAGAGTGAATATTCTGCACTCAAGGTACCTTCTGTAATGAGTTGTTATTTACAAATGTGTACGTATGCAAGTTGAGCACAGGTTTTGCCACACTTGAATCAGCAGTCAGCCTACACACAAGCAAGTGAGGTGTCCCACAAGTGCCTGTGGCTTGGAGTAGCCACCAGCCATCAAAAGCCATTAGCTGTGATCACCCCCCATACTGAGCTCTGACTCAACAGAAATGGATATTTAAACATCCAGCCAAATTGCTGCAATGTCTGAAAATTTGTTACTGTGCTAGTTCAGTGGCCAAAATCCCCCACACTGTGAAATTATTTGATAAAAATGCTTATGTAACCAATTGCAAGAGTGGTCTGCTAGAAAATAAACATTTATGCAAGAAGGCTGCTATATTAATGAAGAATAGGCATGGTTTTAAAAGAAAGCATAAATTTATTTTAAGTGCATGTCTGTGGGGTCCTTGTGATCTGAACAAGACCTGGAAGAGTCCCAGGGCAAGAAATCCTTCCTCTGTTCGCTTTCTCAGCATTCCCTACATCTTAACCACCTGTTATTTATAGCAGAGCCACATATGGGTAAAATGGGAGACATAGCAGCTGTCAAGCAACAGACCTGCAAGTGTCCCTATTTTCCAGGGACAGTCCCGGATTTACATAAGCCGTCCCCATTTCTAATTGGATCCTGGAATGTCCTCCTTTTCCTTAGGATGTGCCTGCTTTCATCAGAGAAATGTTGGAGGGTTCTGGCGTGTGTGTTTCAGAGCTCATCAACACATCCATTTCCCCTACCACTTTCCCTCAGGGAAACCCAATCTTTAGTGCTGAATCGGCACAAACTGCAACTGAGTTTCCCGCAGATTGCTGTTTGTTCCACTTCAGAGCTAAAGAGCAGGTTTTCCAGGTGAAAGTAGTGGAGCAAATGCTAAACCACTCCAACTCGTGCCTAGATATTGTGGGACAAGCAGGAAACTGCTTGTACCCATGCTTTCTAGGAACCGGACAAGCAGAAGTGTGGAAAAGCAGGCTTCTGTACATGGACTGGGATCAGTGGTGTAACATGGATTGCCAGTGCCCAGGGGAGGGAGGGAGATGGAGTACGTATTCACATTCAACTGCCTAACAGTGTCCATGACACCCAGGAGATGGCAGCCACAGAGGTAATAAAAACGAGTTGTTTCATTGTCTGGAGAGGTCACTTCCTGGTTCGCATGGAGAAGCCCATCAACAGAGGTGCACAGCTGTATTGAGGCAGCACCGGGTGTTGAAATTTTGCGCCCCTAGCAATTTTTCACCCAGGGCAACTGCCCCTATGGGCCCCTACATGATATGCCACTGACTAGGATCCACATGTGCACATGGTTGCTGTGCCCCAGCACACTTTTTTCTTCTTTGCTGTATTTGAGAGATCGGGGACGCGGTAGGGGCCATTTGGAGGTCTAGTGCACCTCACTGGAGCCTGAACTGGGGTCCAAAAGGTCTACGGTCTGTGTGCCCTGGTGCTTGTCTAGTGATGCCTCAAGTCCCCTGAGCCTGTTGTGCCACTTCCCACATGGGTCAAGCCCTTGTTGCTCCTTCCTCTATATCAGGCTTCCTCAACCTCGGCCCTCCAGATGTTTTGGGACTACAATTCCCATCAACCCTGACCGCTGGTCCTGCTAGCTAGGGATCATGGGAGTTGTAGTCCCAAAACATCTGGAGGACCGAGGTTGAGGAAGCCTGCTCTGTATGATTCTGTGGCATCGGACAGGTGAAGAGCCCCATCCAAGGCAGGCACAGATGTCTCTGGTACCCTGAGGCATGCCTGCAAGTCGGGAGCCTAGTTCAGAATCTATCCAGGAAACCTGAATTAATGGCCATGTGGTTTGTCTAACTTTCCCAGAGGAATTCTGAATTAGGCTGGGTGAGTTTGCCTATCTCTGAATGCTTTATACTGTTGGTGGCTTCCTCTTTGGGACTGTGCCGTGACACACTTTGCACACGCTATTCCTACCGGAGTAAAAGTCTTTAGTTGACTCGCAACCCTTCACGGCGGGGCAATGAAATGAGATGCCGCTATACTCCGGGCTCTGGGCTTTATCTTCTGAGTGGTGCAGAGAACACTTCCTATGTATCTCTTTGAGAGTTTTGCATGGCAGAGCAGGTAAGTTCTATAAACCACACTGCCGTTTTTGTGCTGCAGTTGCTTGTCCTTGTGCTATTGCTCAGCTATGCATTCAGCCAGAAGATAATGTAAATTTTTCGGTAAAAGGGAGTGGGGGTGGTGAAGTTGGGAGATTCTCCTTCTTTCCCATCAGACCAAAGCCGCAGTGAAGTCATTCCTCTGCATACATTTGCAGGGCACATAGTCTGCTTTGAGTTCTTCTGCTGTCAGGGTGGACAACTGATAAACTATGTGAGAACTTTGTAAGGGGGAAACCAGGAAATTACTTATCAAGCTCCAGCTTTGCAGAGGTTCTGGTGCCAACGTTTGGGGTGGGGAAGGGGGGAAGGCTCGACCAAACGCACAACATCTGCACACATTATAATCTTGAGGCTCCAGCTGTTCAGAACTCTTTCAAGCCATGTAAGTGAGGAAAAAACTTTATTTCTCTGAGGCGAATTGTCATTATTCTCTTGGCTCCTGAAAGCTCTCAGAGAAACCAGATTCCAAATAGGTTTGCTAATACCAGCTCCGGTTTTAACTGGCTTTCTTACACAGCAACACACACCCGTGGGCATGATAAACAGCATACTGTTTTGCTTGTAAATGTAATGATACGCTAGCCTATTCTCTAGGCAGCATTTTCTTCCTTTGCTCTTAAATTATAGAAATCTCTGCATTTGTGGCTTCAGGAAAAGGATATCTGATTTAATTTTTAATTTTTTTTTGTCTTTCCAGTGCACACAGCACAATTTATTTTCAGAGTAAAGTGTGCTGTTGATAAACTGCGGAAATAAGCATGGTTATTACAAAGCTGCTTTTCTTGAGATTGTAGCTTGTGATTTGAGACAGATGAAACATTTTAAGAGACATAGGGCAGTTTGCTGGAATCATTGCTGCCCTTAATACAAATTACATCTGTTTCTGTTCTGCTATGGGCTCCTGTCAAATGACTGGTTTTGCAGTTTCTGGTATGATTCAGTCAAATGGGAGACAATAGCTGATTCAACCATTGTTTATATGGCTGCAGTAGGTGTCTACTGGTGAGTGTCTGTGACATCACTAGATATCTTCCTTGAGAAGTTTAGGAACAAACATGTTTGAAGTGTTTGTATATGGTCATTAGTAGCTATTGGAAGGTATGGCCCATTTCAGTAGCCAATCAGTTTTCTCCAAAATTTAACTAAGCAAGATTTCAATGATTTAACCTGTTTCAAACTCAGTGAAGTCTGTGGAGCTGGCTTGAGAGCAGTACATGTGAAAAGGATCTAGGAGTCTTGGTTGACCACAAACTTGACATGAGCCAACAGTGTGACGTGGCAGCTACAAAAGCCAATGCAATTCTGGGCTGCATCAATAGGAGAATAGCATCTAGATCAAGGGAAGTAATAGTGCCACTGTATTCTGCTCTGGTCAGACCTCACCTGGAGTACTGTGTCCAGTTCTGGGCACCACAGTTCAAGAAGGACACTGACAAACTGGAACGTGTCCAGAGGAGGGCAACCAAAATGGTCAAAGGCCTGGAAACGATGTCTTATGAGGAACGGCTAAGGGAGCTGGGCATGTTTAGCCTGGAGAAGAGGAGGTTAAGGGGTGATATGATAGCCATGTTCAAATATATAAAAGGATGTCACATAGAGGAGGGAGAAAGGTTGTTTTCTGCTGCTCCAGAGAAGCGGACACGGAGCAATGGATCCAAACTACAAGAAAGAAGATTCCACCTAAACATTAGGAAGAACTTCCTGACAGTAAGAGCTGTTTGACAGTGGAATTTGCTGCCAAGGAGTGTGGTGGAGTCTCCTTCTTTGGAGGTCTTTAAGCAGAGGCTTGACAACCATATGTCAGGAGTGCTCTGATGGTGTGTCCTGCTTGGCAGGGGGTTGGACTCGATGGCCCTTGTGGTCTCTTCCAACTCTATGATTCTATGATTCTATGAGCTAGAATGCAGTGAGATGCCCAAACCATGATGCTGATCCTGATGATGGGACGCAACTTTAGAATTGCCCCCTTCCGCTTCCCATTCCAACTTCCAGCATCTCATCTCAAGGATAGAGCCAGACCCAGGGGCAGCTGCTCTTTGTGGATCTGGAGGCAACAAGCACGTCTTGGGGGGAAGGCTACAAGTTTCATCAGTATCCAGAGCAGATCATTACTAAAATGTAAAGCACTGGGCCTCTAGTCTCTGCTTTTTAAAGCTAACCCTATTCCCACCACCCAATTTGAGCTGCTTAATTTCACTTACTTTTTATCTCTTTGCTAGTAATGAGTTTTCACAGCTTCCTCACGTGGGCAGTGCCATCCTTTGCATGCTAACTCACAAGTAGGGCCCACTAACTTCAATGTGACTTTCTTTGTGGTAAACGCACACAGGAGAGCAGCCATGGCTTGCTCATTCATGGATTTGTGCCCTACGCCACCCACTGCATAATCTGCATGCCTTCCTCTCCCTTTTCTGTTGGAGAACTCTCTACTGAAGCAGACTGCACCAAGCTCCAGAAGGATGTCTCTAAGCTAGGCCAAACCCTTTCCGTTCACCACTTTCTCAGTTGGGAGATATCCTTCTTCTGGAGCCTGACACAGTCAACCTGGTCAACTGGTTCTTCACAGGACCAAGAGAAAGGAGAGAAGTCCACAGGCCGAGGAACTGATGCACTAAACAAGGTTCTGGAAGAGTGGGCCCAAGAAGAGAGTGATCCAAGTTGTAAAGTAATACTTCTTATTTTACGAGTATCAGGCTGCCTGTGACTAACCAGGCTGCCTGTGACTATTGAATTTGAATCAAGGCTTGGAAAGAGAACTTTCTCACAGTTTGTATTTTAAGGAAATAAAAACTTGCAAACATTTAAATATCTGCACTTTAATATTGTAATGGGTTTGGGGTTAGACTAAGTTGGTTTTGGGGGTCCTTGGACTGTGCGTAACAATCTTACTGCTCTTACCATCTTTATTATGGAAACACTCTTTAAGAACTGGAACCGGAAATTTTGCTGAAATTTATCCAGATATGTGAAATATACAAATAAAATGGAAAAGGATACTACACAAAAATAAGATTAATTGGGAAAACTTGATGAACCAAATGCAGACAGGCACTTTTCAGTTATCAAACAGTATTCACCACCATTAAAGTATTTGTGAGAACTGACTAAGTTACCTATGGGCAATAGACTCTGATGATGATTTTTTTGGTGGTATGCTATTTGTAAGCGGATTCATCTTGCAGTTTGATAGCTAAAAAGTATGTGTCTATATTTGGCTTGCAGGTTTGTAGTTACAATTTTATTATTGTGTACATAGTACTTTTCCCATTTTATTTATATATTTTACATCTCTGGATGAATTTTAGTACAATTTACAGTGACTGTCTTGACCTTTTAAAAATTGCTTTTTGTTGTGGTGAGCAGTCTGCACACTTCTTTTTAATCTGGCATTTTTATTATGGAGCTTGAGCATTCATGAGGATGACGTTTTGTGTAGCAAAATACGCTTCCAGGCTCTGGGCCTCTGGCTGGAGAGGGGGCTCCTGAGAGTACACAGAGTGTGCTAATGGGGCTAATTGCTACCGCGGCAGAGTGGATGGAATTTCCATCTGGAAAATGGAGCTGGGGGTTCTTAATTTCCCAAGTGTTTCCATCCTAATCTAAACTAAACCTCTTTGTCCACAGCTGCTTTTAATCAAATTTAAAAAGAAGGGAGATCCAAACTTGGCTCTCCAAAGTCTCTTCTAGTTTGATCTTCATTCAGTTACACACAGAGACACAGACACACACCGTTTATAATATAAGGATGAAAATAAAACTGACTTATTTTACAGGATTCTTCCATGATTATTGAAATGGTACAGTGGTACCTCGCAAGACGAATGCCTCGCAAGACGGAAAACTCGCAAAACGAAAGGGTTTTTGGTTTTTTGAGTTGCTTCGCAAGACGATTTTCCCTATGGGCTTGCTTCGCAAGACGGAAACATCTTGCAAGTTTGTTTCCTTTTTCTTAAAACCGTTAATACCCAGGGTGCATTGCTTGAAGAAGTGCAGTTGCGACTTGACTTCGAGGAGCAACTCATAGCACGCGGTGTGGTAGCCTTTTTTGAGGTTTTTGAAGACTTTGGTGATTTTTGAAGCTTTTCCAAAACTTTCCTGACACCGTGCTTTGCAAGACGAAAAAAACCGCAAGACGAAAAAACTCGCAGAATGAATTAATTTCGTCTTGCGAGGCACCACTGTATAAGCAAAGAACTTTGAACACTCAGAAGTACTATAGAAGTGTTTGGTATGGAATATTATCTCAATAAGCAAAAACATGTACTTTGGTGTTCAGGGTGAAGTATTTTCAGTAGGTCCATAGATCCTTTCATCCTATATAATAAAGCTTTCTGAACCTTTTATTCCTTATCTGTTTGATCCAACAGATGTCCCTTGGTCCACAGATGGTTAGCCTATTTAATTTTCTCTGTAATCCTCAAATGCTCTGCTCAGTGCATTTTCTCTATGCAGGAATGTGCTGGTTTGTATCATATAGACTTCATATACTGAATGAAGAGCCCTTCTGACTGGTGAATGATGTCATTTCCTGGCTCCAAAGCTAATAAGCCACACATGTCATATTGTGTATTTGCGATGGTTAGTTTCTTCCTCTCGCTTAATGCATGGTTTCCAACTGGCAGCCTTTGCACTGAAATGCTTCAATGTGGCTCAATTCTAGTTATGCAACCTATCAAATAGGATTTGTTGCGTAAGGAAGTGTTTCACTGGATATTAGTCCCCAAAAGCTATATTCAGTGAAGATCCTGAAATTGTATTGTTACAACCCATGCTCCACACCAAAAAGCCCACCAGAAGCTTGGTAATTATTCTGTTTTTGTTACATGCCTCAAAAAAAACCTCATGGCGGAGGCCTGCATTTAGCTTGGTGGATCACACGTGGTGCAGTTCTATTGGTAAAATCTCTCACTATAATATTTCTAGTACTCTTGTCATCACACTGAGCTACTAGGGGAGTGAAAGAGGCACATAGACTTAACTGATACTTGGAAGCCGGTCCTTCCGGGAATCTACCCCAGATGCTGAATAGGTCACCTTGGGAGGAAGAGGATAGGAAGGGGAGGCGCTGTGATGACCACCCAAGGGGGAGGCTTTCCTCCCTCCCTCTCTTTCTTCCTGACACCAAGGAAGGCTTGAAAAAGGAGAAAGGGAAATTGGCAGGTGCTGAGGGAGTGATACCATTGGCCTTTGGGTGAGAAAGAGGGTGGTCCTTCAGAGAGAGAGTGACCCATTGGTGGGTTTGAAAGCTGGGGAAGAAAGAGCACATTGTGATCTGGAGGAAGGAATCTGAGGCAGACAATGAGGGAGAGCATGTCCTCCCTCAAAGAGGGCACTGGCTATATTGGACAGCCACAACACCTGACTGGTAGGTCCCTCGTTGCTGGGTTTAATCTGGCCACTGGGTGCTGTCTCAACGGATCGAGGAACCTATAAATACCTATGCACTTGACCCAGAGCTTCCTCTTTTGGCTCGTGCATTCGGAACACCCGCCCACCTCTCCCTATATTTAGGGCATTTTGTGATTGACTTTGCTATGTCGTCGTGTGTCATCTGTCGTAGGGACAGGGGCACGGCAGGATTTTTTCCCACTTGGCTGATTGGCTGTTGCCATTTGGGTTTCGCCTGCTGCGTAGCAAATCGTCACAACTTGTAAGGTTGCAGATAGGCTCTGGTTCAGGTGATAGGGATGGGAGAACGGTCTCGCCATCCCTATGTGAAGGGTATTCCATTAAAGGAATCCAGGGACTCAGCTTGGTTTGGTCAACCCCCGAGAGGGGGTTGTGCCTGTGTCTGAGTCCAGGGGAGCATCTGGGGAGTGGACATAGCCTGTACCCGGGCTTTCTACCTACCTCAGGTGTTCACCCTTGGCTGACCTATGATAGAGCTCTGGGTCAGCGCTACCTGCAAGGGTGCAGGGAGCTAGTCAAACCAGAGCCTATGCAACCACTCACTTTCTGTAATCAGTAAAGTTGTGGCCTAAATTCTGCCAAAATCCAAACTAAAATTTGAGTCAAATGTGTTTTTATTTAGGGGGGAGGTCTCTGGGTCTGAACACGCAAATATTGTGGCCAGGAAGAGACACAGAGGCTTGCCTTGCTGTCTGTGCTGAATCCAAAATATGGCCTTGGCTTTGGGGGACACCAAAAGAAACCTAACCAGAGAGCATGTTCTGTTGGAGCATTATGCTGTGTGTTCAGCTCAGCCTATAAAAAGGTAAAGGGACCCCTGGACCATTAGGTCCAGTCGCGGACAACTCTGGGGTTGCAGCACTCATCTCGCTTTATTGGCCGAGGGAGCCAGCGTACAGCTTCCGGGTCATGTGGCCAGCATGACTAAGCCGCTTCTGGCGAACCAGAGCAGCACACGAAAACGCCGTTTACCTTCCCGCTGGAGCGGTACCTATTTATCTCCTTGCACTTTGAGGTACTTTTGAACTGCTAGGTGGGCAGGAGCAGGGACGGAGCAACGGGAGCTCACCCCGTCACGGGGATTCTGTTTGTAAATATAACCATATATAACACCACCATCTCCAGTGACTTTCATTCTACTACAACCAGACCTGGGGTATGGCTGTGTCACCCCTGAAATATCTCACCACTAAGAAATCAGGATGCACATAAAAGTACATCTGGGGAATAGAAGTGTTCTAGGTTTGCAGGGGGGGACCCCCTAATCCCTAGAAATTAATCAATGGTATGTTTTTAGTTATTTGGAATATGAAGGGGGAAACACAAGCCGCAGAGGAATTCCTGGGCTAGCCTGTGCAAAACGACCTGGCCATTAAGAAACAATACAGGGCCATTGAGGGCCATTGGCAGTGCAAGAGAACTGGCCTTCCCCCTGCCCTGAGGTGTGAACAGAGACAGCAGATTTGGAAGGCTGCCAGGGTAACTGGGTGTGAGGTGACAGGAAAAGTGAGTCTTTAGCAATGTGTGCTGGGAAGAAGGCCAAAAATAATAATGACTGGGATCCATCTTGGGCAGGCTGGCTGAAGGCAAGCTGAGAAAGATGACTTAGACTCCAATGTTGCACTGCTCTCGGGAATAAGACCTTCTTGATATTACCATGCTGCAAGATCTGGACTGCCTCCATCTAAATTCAGGTGTAAATATGTGAATAAATCATATTTATTTATATGGATCTGCCCTTGATCTTTCTGCCTTTCACATGCATATGCATCCTGAGGGCAGCAGAAAAACAATGGAAGTTATCTCAATGCAAAAATACATATATGTCTTTGTTTTAGACATCCCTTGTTTTTACCCACAAGATTTTGGAATGGTTGTGATTGGTCAGCCAAATCTAGTAGTCTCCCCTCCCCCACCTCTGCATACTTTCTTCTGCAGTAAATAAATGCAGATTTAATTTGGTTCCCTAAAGGATAATTCAAGACAGGAATTCATCCTGCCACATGACATGTATGTTACTGAAGCATTTGTCTGCTAGGACAGCGTTTTGTTTCTGAACAGAGGCTGTTTAATTGTAGCAAGAGGATGAATGCATTCAAGCGCCAGGTGGATTTCCGCTACCAGACAGCAAAGGACAGCTGAAAGAAAGGAGCTCCAAAATAAATCCCCTATACAATGGAAAGATGTCATCATCCTCAGGTGTTGGCTGCCAAGCTTTTTTTTTTTAGGTCAGTCTGTAGCCTAAAAGATGAAACTTCATTGCTTACGTAAATCACTAATAAGCAACAGGCCTTGAAGGGGCCGGCATCAAGTTTGCAGCTCCGCGTGAGGATGTAGCTTAAAAGGGCTGGCCAGGTGAGCAGGCATAAGTGGGGTGGCTCAGATTTATGACTTGATAAATGCCTGGAAAATTGGCTGAATAGTGATGGAGTGGGGTGATCTAGAAATTGCAGGCCCTTCACTCCCAAACGTCCCATTTTTTCCTCTCTCTCAAAGCCCTACCTCCTTTCCTTGTCCTCAACTCACCTACTGTCAGGATGCTGTCAGCGGCTCCCGGCTGGTTGCCCAGGAAAGTATAAAGACAAGGAAAAGTTTATTACAGTCCTTTTTTATTCCAATCTTTACAGAGAGAGGCTATAGAACCCAGCCTCTTGGATAATGGCGTCGTCCTGAGTGAATCTCCACCCCCCCATCTCTCCCACTTCCTCATTCGTCTCCTCTACAGTTGCTGCTACGGGCCCTCTGTCTTTCAGCTCTTTGCTCTCCTACTTTTAAGGCTCACCGGGTTCTGGGAGATGGAGGGTCTGGAATGCTTTCTAAAGCCAACATGTCAGCTGGGTGTTGTTCCAGCTCTCCCATGATTTCCCAGCTTCTCCCCTCATCTGCCTCTGAGCTGCCACCTCTCTCAAACCTTCCTCTTCCTCCTCCCTGGAAGGGTCAGGATGGGGAGCCGGTCTCCACCATTCCTCCTCTGCCCAGTCCCTGACTCCTGCTGAGGCTGGGTGCTGAGGCTAGCCTCTGTCCTTGTGGGCAGCTGTGGTGCTGTTGCCTTCTGCAGCCAGCAAAAGAAATATCGCTGGGAGAAATAATTGAGACTGGAAATATAAGCTTGGGTCCCAAGATTCCCATACAAGAGTGGAAGGAACTTCTGCTGGTGAACTCAGGGGTAGGATCACTGATTCCTCCCTCTCTGCACCTCCAGAAAGCCCTGTCGCCCTGTGTTGCATGGTTCTCTGGAGAGATTTTAAGCCCTATATGTGCAGGTGCAACAGCAGAGCAGATTCAGCATTCCTCCTGACCACAAGTAGGAGTGCCATGGAAATTCTTATGCTATCCCCAGAGGCAGTTCGGATTCCTGCCACTACCTGCAGTTTCTTGTCAACATATGGAGACTTAATGGAGCCAAGTAAAATGAGGAGGAAGAGGGGGAAGACCTGATATTGTCTGTTAGACTTTGTAAAAGCTGCTGTGTTTGTGACTGGAATGCTGTCTGTATTGTGCTTTGCCATACAACCTGGAGTGCCAACTTGAATAAAATATTGGGGGCACGCAGGTAAGCATCACCCTGCATAATCGATCACATGATGAATGGCAATGCCCATCAATTTTGGGGAGGCCTCTCAAATATTTTATGGGGGGGGGGAGCTAAAGACCCCTTAGCCTCCAGAAATTGGCTCCTACACTCACAACATTTTCTACAGTCACTCTTCTGCGATAAACTATTTCTTTTCATACTTGGTATATTATTCTTCAGCGATGAGGTCAGTTGTACTGCAGTGCTTCAACATGTGTATTTCTTTTAAATGAAGATTTCATTAAAAGCTAATTATGATCAATTAGATTCCGATTACTGTGAATGGGGCAGGAAAATAAAAAAATGCACTTCTAAGGTACTGAGGGGTCTAAATGACCTCAACATGGTAAACTGTCACTTATACTGGTGCAGCTATATGATTATTGCTATTATTATTATTATTATTATTATTATTTACTGAAGTCTCCTCTCCCCCCGCCACTCCCAATCTGAGTAAGGAATATTAGAAAAAGAGAGACATTAAGGTACCGTGCTTTTGTTGCTTGAGGTATGGCAGTAACTAGTTATCCAATGTACCTCTGAGTATACTTGAGCAAATTCTTCAACTGCCTGCTATATAACTGAAACACCATGGTGCATCTGTAGCAGCGAAACCAGGCACCTTCACCTGCCCCAGATGTAACATAACATGTCTCTCCCATATTGGTCTCTACAGCCACAGCAGGTTCTGTAACTCTCCAATTGTTTGACTTTACATCTAGTGGTGCAAACTTCCATTGTCTTTCGAGACAGGCAGATAACAGTAATTGTCTGGAATCTCTTGCTTTCAGTCTGCTAAATTATATCTTGTGTGAGGATGTATAGACATAGGGACTGAACCACAATGGAAGCAGAATCCGATACAGTGTCTTATTGATAGCATGTTTTACTGATATGCATGTTTAGAGCTCTACAACAAAGCAAGCCCTGAGCAGGGCAACAAATTGATACTTCCTATTGTCCTGCAGTTTCCCCACAGGAAAAACCACTCTTTAGTGCCCAGCTGGAGCAAATGGGCAATTTGGGTTTCCTCTGGATTAGCATTTGCTCCCATTTAGCCCTAAAGAGCAGGTTCTCTCTGGTTTGTTGTCCTTAACCCTACAAGGGCTACTTTAACTACTGAAGGCAACAAACCTCTGAATATCAGCAGCCGGGAAATGGGGAAGGTTCTGTTGTGCTCAGGTCCCGCCTCCTGGCTTCTCACAAGCATCTGGTTGGCCACTGTGAGACTAGGAAGCTAGACCAGATATGCCACCAGCCTGATCCAGAAGGCTTTTCTTATGAAACTCTACTCACATTTTTAATATCAGACCTGGTGTTGATGAAACTCATAAATTCGCAGCTTTTGGCTTAGTACCTAGATCTTATTTCACTCAGCTCTGATGTGGCAGATACTGTCTCCTTAAGACCACCTGGTCTAAAAATGGCTTTAAGGCTTTGGATCATTGGTCTTTGGTGGGTGGGTTGGGATCTACTCACTGAGCTACAGAGAGCTGCTACAGCAGCACAACCACCGTACACTACAAATACATGGTAAAAAAAAAAATTAAGAGAGTTCCCAGGTGCATGTTTGTGTTAAATGTGGGTTCTGGCCTGAGAAGGTGGAAGACCAGTGCTCTAGATTACCGGTATATTTAATGTGGCAGTAGTGCAGCAGTTTTCTAAGCTTGGGAGCCCTGGGTTTTCTTTGCGTTCATGCTCAGTATTTTCTTTTCTGTTCATGTACAGAGGCAGATGACAATTTAGCTGGTTGCTGCCTAGGTTAGTTCCAGAGACCACTTATTCTTCATAGCTGCCAAGGGCTTCTATGACCTCACTGAGGACATGAATGCTTTGAGAAGGCTCTCTTCAGCTTCCAAATGGAGCAGCTTCTGGGTAGCAGCCATGGGTTATTCCTATGCAACTCTTTCCTTAGCTGGCGTTGGCTTACAAAGAACTAATCATTCAAATGATTGTTTCCATTCATTCACTTCCTCCTTATGCACACACATAACTCTTCAACTCAATAAGCTTTCAGGGGAACTTCACAGCTTCCACAGTTTATTCAGATTCCCCACCAAATTTGCCATAGGTTATGAGGTTTCTTCTTTTGCAATTTCCCCAGCCCAGCTCCCCCCTCTTTTACACACAGATTCCCTCTCTGCTGAAGGGGTATGGAAAGGGTGGGGAGAATACATTGCAGATATCAATATTGTGCAGCTTGAAGCAATTGGATGCATAAAAACCAACTCCTCTTGGGGAAAAAATTGTCCAGACCTATAAATATTATTCAAACCACAACTGCTTCAAAACGGGTACAAAAACAAATCAATGACACCTCCAAATAGTTCCATAAGACACGTGCTTGGCCTTAGTCACTTAATTCATTTCAGGGTGTGTCTCAGCTCCAGACCCTCCAAGTGTCCCTATTTTCCAGGGACATCCCTGATTTAGACAAGCTGTCCCAGTTTCTGATTTGATCCTGGAATGTCCCACTTTTCCTTAGGATGTTCCTATTTTCATTGGAGAAATGTTGGAGGGTATGGAGTTATACAACCCCCTGAGCCATCTGAAGGCAATCCTGTTTAATGTTTTATTACGTTTTCATATGTTTTGGAAGCTGCCCAGAGTGGCTGGGGCAATCCAGTAAGATGTGTGGGGTATAAAGAGTAAAATTATCATTATGGAATGGGACGTCCCTATTTTCATCGGGGAAACGTTGGAGGGTATGCAGCTGTAAAGCAAGGCCAATGATCTCCATACGGTGTATGGCTAATACAATCGGAGTGAATGTAGTCTGAGCTGTGCCTTGGAACCATCCGCCTGCAGGCACGCTGAGCACCCACTTTCTGCTGGTGACAAATCTGGGACTTCCGGGTCAGCGCCATTGGTGAATGGCGGAGTTCCTCCAACCGGAGGAACGGGCTCCGTGAAAACTGGGTCTTCCCGCCGCGGCGAAGGTGGGGATCCGCTAGAAATCCCAGGCGGAGGAAGCCTGGGAACGTGGGGTTCGGCAGGGCACCAGAAGCGCCCCCCTACTCGCGGGGAATCCCATCTAGGGGCTCCAGAGCGAAGTGGGGTGAGAAGCGCGGTGCTACGAACTGACTGCTACTTTCACGGAGTGAAGCCGCACAGCCATTGCCAGAGAGCACTGACTTTTTCCTGTGGACAATTGGACTTAAAACAAGTACCCGTGAGTAGAAACGGAAAATTGGATCAAGAAATTGCTTTAATTTACACCACAAAGAACTCATAACCCACCTACTTTCAGCAGCCAGAAACACCATAACCAGACACGGGAGAGACCTGTCAGGAGTAAGCATGGACCAATGGTACCAAATAGTATGGGAAACAGCCCTACTAGAAAAATTAACTAATAAACTGAAACTGACACAGGGACAAACAGAAGAAGACACCTTCACCCCGGTATGGCTCCCCTTTATCACATACACAGCCCAACAGGACAATGACAATAATCCGCCAACAGCATACAAATCAATATGGCTAACCTGATCCAAAACACCCACCCACCTCACTCACACACGAAAACAAAGATCACCACAGCCAATCACAAGCAGACAATCACACCCTAGGCCAACCCCAACCTCTCTCACCACCAAAGGAACACAAGTGAACCACACAAGCACGCTGACACCAAACTCTACATACATTAAGCATAATAGAAACACCGCTACCCGACCCCACCCCCATCCGTCTCCCCTCCCTCCACCCCCTTTCGTCTTCTTTTTTTTTCTTCTTTTTTTTCTTCTCCCCCTAATGCCTCAACAAATGAAACGGATTTGTAAAAATGTTACATGGAAAAAAAAATACGAGGCATTACACTTACACTGTAAACAAGAAAACCCTTAATAAAATATTTTTTTAAAAAAGAAATTGCTTTAATTTGGTAACGAAGCGGGAAGGTGCAAACAGGAAGTCCGCCTTCCGTTTCTTTGTATATAGACTAAAGCAAAAATTTTGCAAGCTAAAGCCGGGAAGCTGTCAAAAAAGGACTAAATTTCCTTCATTTAGAACCACTGAAACCCCCCTTGGAAGCAGGAGAAAAGGGGGGGGACTCTGTTTAACCCTAGCAGGAGAGGGAGTGAAGAAGGATAAGTTTCCATCGTCTCTAACCTGGGAACGGGGTGTCAGAGACAGAAACTGTTGCTGAGGTCCATTGACAGTGAATGTAACACTTTGACAGATAGCTAATGAAGAGAAACAAGTTGATTCTAATGTTGCCTTTTGCATCTTAAAGAAACAAAATATCTGAAAAACGTCTGAAATATCTGAAAAATGGAATTAACTTTCCTTTGTCTTTAAAAAGAAAAAGGCTACAAGTACATTGTCTCCTCTAGAGGGAGCTTGCTAAATTGTTGTTGCAGCATATTTGAGACCCAACATCTGTGAGATTAAGACTGTGGGAACAGACTTTTTCGACCTTGAACAAAGATGAGCTGGGAGAAAGACTGGTTGCTTGCTCTATGTAAGACAAATGCTTTGCTGGAACAGATGCATGAAAAGATGGACTTGATGAATGAGAAAATGGATTTGACTGTTGTGGTTAATAACATTGATACAGAAATCATCCAAGAACCAACCTATCAATCTGTACCGACTGGGCAAGTGCAGTTGACAATGGAGGAGGATGTGGCTGCACCTCAAATAGTACAAATGGAGAGACCCGAGGCCCTACAGGAGCATAAGCCACTGTTATTGAAGATTGAAGCTGGAGTGGGCCAAGGGGAGTCTGGAGATGAGGAGACTGCTAGCTTTGGAGAGATTTTGAAATTTGATTTTAAATCCATTTTGGATTACATCGAGGACTGTGGGGAGTGGGACTGTGGGGAATGGGTGAGCTGGATGAAGGGTGATGGAGACAGTTTTGGGTTGGAATCCCCCAGAGACCTACTCCTCAATGAGAAAGGAAAGAAACTAAGACAGAGACCAACAAGAGACAAGGAAAAGGGCAAGTACAAACAAGATGAAGAAGAATTGCAGAAGGGACATGGAAGAGATTTAAGGGCCTCGGACATAAGGCTTCCAGGTTGATGGACTAGACGGAATGGACAATAAGGACAATAAGGACTGACATGACCCGAGACCAGGAAGAAGAGACGCTGGATGATGATTGGAAGAGAATTTATAATGGAAACTTTTTATTTTAGAATCAGCTAATGAATATTAGTGAAATTGTGGGAATGAAACTATACGACTCTAGCAGAAATGATATTAGGAGTTATGTATATTTGAAATTTAAGATTTAAGTTTTAAGGCACTTAGGGGTAAGATAAGGTTAAATAAATTAAGGTAATCTGAATAATAGAATATGGGGAAAGATGGTAAGGATTTGTTGAGTTATTAGGTTAAATTGTCAAGACAAATTTTATAACAAGAATTGAGAAAGATGGAAAGAATTTGCTGAAATAATTACTAAACTAGAACACAAAAACGGAGGTGTGAGGAGGTCAATGAAACAAGCAAATGGAAATTATGGACATGTAATTTGGGATTTGTGGGTTTTTTTCTCTTTTTTCTTCTTTTTTACTTTTTTTATTGCTGTATTGTTATATTGGTTTTCACATTTTGTGCTTTTCTCTCCTTTTTATTGTCTTCTTTTTCTTTTTTCTTTTTTTGTATTGTAGTGTTGTTTGCTATTTTTTATTTTTCTTGTAATTTTGAAATTATCAATAAATATTATTATTATTTTTTTTAAAAAAAGACAAATCTGAGTGTGGTTTCTATTGGCCCAGCCATAGAACAAGCTCTCAGTTGTTAAATGGGGCTGTTATATCACAAATTAAGGCAGCACCCCTGTCAAATGCTAAGTGGGGCAAAGCTGTGCTCTAGCTAGGGAAGTGCACCCATTGGCCCCACTCTGGCAACGGTGCCTTGCTTTGCCTTGCTCTTTTCACCATCTGGGGCCGCGCCATGTGAAATGCTTGCATGAATATCTAACTCCCAATTTCTGCTTATGATACTTTGATGCCAGGTAGCGTTGATCCAGCCATTGCCTGCCAAGCCACTTCTCTGAGGTGCTTGAATCTTATGCCTAGCCCCGCAAACTCATGTGCTAAGAGTGTTCCTACTTTGACGGTTAAACTTGGAGGATGCAAGAATGTTGTGCTCCTAGAAGTGCCAGAATCATGAATCACTTTGAAGAGTCTTGGACTTGTCATTCCCATGTTGTGCATGTGTCAAATCTTAATACACAGAAATTCAGACTGCTGGCCTGTAGTCTTAAGCATGTATATCTAAAACTAAATTTATTTTTGCTGAAAAGAATGGGGTTTCCACCCAAATAAATGTGTTTAGGATCAGGATACCAATATTATATATTTCTAGCTCAGCTTTTGATACCTGTTTATTCTCCCTTTCCAGAGCAGCTTTTTGTGAAGGCTGTCAGTTTCCTTGTGATGATAGAGCATGAAGGCTTGCACTAATTCATTTGGTTTATTTACAAAGCAGGATGAGGACCATAGAAACACCAAGACAGAATATATTTAAAGTGGTGGTGGAGAACCTGTGGCTCTCCAAATATTGTTTGATACATGGCTACTGACCATTCCGACTGGGACTGATTGGTGGGAGGTGCAGCCCATCAACATATCTTCCTCATCACAAATTTAAAGCACCATTACTTCTCCCCAAAGTAAATATGACACTGAAGCCCCTGCCAAGCTCCTTCAGTGCTGGCTTCATTCCATGTGCCAAAATGGTTCCTTCAGCCAGTGGGGTTTGTCAGATAACTGGCAGTTAATAGGCATCAGTGACTTATATGGCAAGTATGTTCTAGCCATCAGTATCTATTGAGGAAGCATTTTAGGTATTAGCTAAACAAAATCTGATGGGACGTGGGTGGCGCTGTAGGTTACACCACAGAGCCTAGGGCTTGCCGATCGGAAGGTCAGTGGTTCAAATCCCCGCGATGGGGTGAGCTCCCGTTGCTCGGTCCCTGCTCCTGCCAACTTAGTAGTTTGAAAGCATGCAGTGCAAGTAGATAAATAGGTCCAGCTCCAGCGGGAAGGTAAACGGCGTTTCCGTGCGCTGCTCTGGTTCGCCAGAAGCGGCTTAGTCATGCTGGCCACATGAACTGCAAGCTGTTCGCCGGCTCCCTCAGTCAATAAAGCGAGATGAGCGCTGCAACCCCAGAGTTGTCCGCGACTGGACCTAATGGTCAGGGGTCCCTTTACCTAAACAAAATCTGGGAGAGAATGGCGCCATTACAATACTTTGTTTCATTCTATTGGCCTCAATATGCTTCATCGTTCCCTTTAAGAAATCCTTTTTATTGTGGATTTGTGATGATTTGTGCTCAAGATGGTGCTGGGGCAGTTATATGTGATCCCACTTTCAATGTTTTTTCTGCATGCAAATGGTTCAGGGCAGACATACTGCTTCGTTTCCCATCCGTGCATGTCCTTAACTTCCTGCTAAAGTTGTGCTGTGCAGTGTTTTATATCACAAATGTTCTGGGGTGGGTGGGCTCTGTTTTCATTGTGTTATATGGGGCAAGTGCACCCTTCCAAAGCAGACATGTTTCTGTTTCCACACCATTCTCTGCTTTTGCACTGTCCATGCATAGAATTGGATCTTTTCTCTTACTGGACAATGATTTGCTCCTTAAATCTTTCATTGTTTATCCTCTTTCCTGGTCCACAAAGCTGTCAGTTGGAGTTTTGTTTATATGACTTATCCATAATGTTTGGAATTCACACTTAACTTGGCAGACATCCCCCAGTGTGGAGAAAAATTGCAGCATTTGAATGAGGTGGAAGTTCAGTGTCCTGCAGACTCTGTCAGCAAGTCTTTTTGTGGTTTGAGTGATGTTGGGTTTCCTTTGGCTTTTGAAAAAATCCATAACCACAGAACTGGATGGCAACATAGTGGAATACCAATATGGTGAAAAAATTAATTGTCTCTGCCTTGATTTCAGCCCAAGTTTTCAGCGACAGAATGCCATGAGCTTATGCCAGCTATTTGGTGGTCTGTATGAATCACTCTATCTAGCAAGCGACAATGCAAAAAATATATTTGTGCCACCATGTCGTAATTACTTTACTGTGATTAATGGCTATTACCAGATGTTAAGTATTGTGTTCCAAATCCACACCACAAATCTGAAAATATGATATTTTATCTTTCTTCTTTGCCATCCTTTACATTATTGCCCACATATTTCCCCCTTGAAGCATACGTAGTTCTGTCACTGGTGCCAGGGTCATGCAGACACAAAGGAATCCCAAATTCTGCACCAAGAAAAGGGAAATTATGTGAATTGTATAAAATGTGCATGCAGGGAGAGGTAGCTTAAGAGTAGTGATACATAATTTAAAGTGCTTCAGCTAGTTATGGGAAGAGGCAAGGAAGCACATCTCTTAGAAATCTTACTCAGCCAACTCTTTGGCATTAGAATTGAGTAGACAATGAAGAAGTGCACCTTCAGAGGTGACGTCAAACTGTTGGAAGGTGCCTGCTGTGGCTGTAGAGACCAAAACAGGAGAGACATGTTTTGTTGCAGCTAGGGCAGGTGAAGGCGTCCGGTTTTGCTGCTACAGATGCACCATGGCGTTTCTGCTCTCTGCACTCCTTCCAGCGGTCATTCCTTCTCTGGTCACTCTGGATACATGGTCTGACTGTCTGTTTCCAAGCACTGCGGTCGTCTGCAAGGGATTCCCCTTCCCTGACACCTGCATAGGAAAGGACCCCCAAAACACACATGGGTACTGTTGACTCATTTGTGGCACAGGAAGTTCAGTTGGTTGCAACAGCTTAGTCTGTATCAGCTTTCTAGAGTGAGAACGGAAGTGTATACTAAACTGTGTAGGGGAAAAGTGGTTTTGTCAGCTGAAGGAAGGTGGTTTTAGGAAAGCACTTCTAGAGATACAGATGGAATTTGCACCGCAGACTAAAAGAGAAGGTGCTGGGACATTAACAAGCAAAACCATGTTATACAACTGTGTCTGGGATGCTTTGCTTACTGTGAATAAATGGGCAGCTGATGAGTGTTCAGGGACTTCCACAAAAGTACCACCATGTTTCTTGATATCCATTAATCTTTTGCTAGCCTCTGGCTGTTTCAAAGCTACAATTTCTGCTTTAAAAAACCCAGATTATTAGGAAGCCAACAATTTTCATCTAAGAAAAGGAAAAGAGAAACGGCATGAATGCAGTTTTGCAGTTGAAATCAGGGAGCATCAGGGGTAGGCTGAGACCTTAGCAAGTGTTGACTAAGACTAGGGTGCAGAGTTGGAGCACTGTAGACTTTGGCGGAGGGGATCTGTTGCAGAATGAGCAGCTTTGCTGCCTGATTTGATGAGTCCCCTTCCAACAGATTGTGCTTCAATATTTGTAAATAAAACAAATATTTGTTAATAAAGCAAAAAATAGACTATAACTCTCCAGTGCTATCTCATATAAAGGAAGCTAAGTACTTCAACCCTGGATTTCTCACCCATGAGAGAAACTGAAGCACATAATGGCAGAATATTTTTTTGCTTAGCTGGTTTTGCCAAACCACCAACTTAAAACAACAGCAGCAAGATTCCATGCATATGTTGTGAGTCATGTACTGGACCTGTTGCTCTATATTCCTCCTTATAGAATGAGTATGGAACAAAGATTGTTTGGTCTACAATTTCATCTGTATTAAGTGGTACCTCCTGCAGCAAAAGCATTAATTCTTGTTTTGGCTACAACAGCTGATCAGATTTTAGTGGCACTTAAGCCTGCAGGGGAGAACTGCACAAGAGCCCATGATGCATCCATTATATTCAATTTTACTGCTTTTAATTTTAACGACCAGTAAAGTTGTCCCACCTCCGGCATTCTAGAACTGAGATGTAGAAATGTCACTGTAGTCGTGCCGCTTTAATAACAGAACTTGCCACAGTTTGAATGACTGTTTTCATAAGTAAAATTTGGCAGGGGTTCTGTATTTGCTATAGAAAATATTTGACATTTCAGACATTTGTATTTCACATGTTTGAAAGCAGTTGACGAGACATCTAACTTCCAAGTTCTGCGGTGCCTGAGTCAAGAAAAATACAACCAACTTGTTCAAGCACAGGTCTACATGCCAAAATACTTTGATGATATTATTTGCCTATTATGTGATCAAATGAATTGAAGCGATTTTATGAGGGGAAGGAGTATTGTATATTGGGAATGAGTTAGATTGGTTAGATTGTGGAAACAGAACTTCGAAAGGCTGGTAGACAAGTGAGCCGCCATTGCTGAAGGTGCTCATCTGATTTATTCCAACCAAATGGCCCTGTTTGGATATTTACCCGGCCAAATATCCTAATTCTGAGACAAGGGAGCAATCAGTGCAGTGGCAGCTGGTGCCCTTGGAGCCTGACAGGGCAGAGGGCAGAGAGACCAACAGCAGATTCCAAAAGATTTTTAAAAGTATTCATGTACGCCACCACCGCAGCAAGAGTTGTGATTGCACAGAACTGGAAAAGGGAATGTTTACCGACCAAAAAACATTGGTTGACCAAATTAATGGAGTACATGGAGATGTACAAGTTGACTGGGCAGATAAGAGATCAAACAAAACAAAAATTTAAAAAAAGATTCAAACATATTCAAACAATATTTGAAAGACTATTATGGGGAAGTTGAAATTTTGACTGGTTTAGAATAACTCCTGTAAGAATAAAATACTAAAATATAGCGGAAAATCAGGAAAACAAACTCATAGACGTGTTAAGAGAGGCATTCAAATAAGTACAAGTGAGGACCCAAGTAAGAAGGGGAGGGAAGTCAAGTATAAAAGGAATACGAATGACTCAAGCAATTAAGCACAAACTTTTGTTTTTGTTTTCTTTACTTTTTATTATTTAGAAATACATGTTTTGCCATGAACGTAAATTAAAAGAAACCAATAGAGATGATTTGCAGAGAGAGAGAGAGTTGATGACCGGCAGAGCTGAGAGATTCTACCTAGCCCCTTCCTCCTCCCTGCTGAGTTCTACAAGCGGCCACACAGAAACTAAGGGGAAAGAAGTCAATGCAATAGCGGTGGAGGCAATGGCTATTGGTTGTAAGTCAAGAGAGAGGTGGGTGCTGACTGAGGGCAGTTTCAGCTAACTGGGAGAGTGCTCTGTTTGTCCTGAAGGCAGGGGGTGGCCCGTCCCATTTTGCTGCCTGAGGCGAAATGGGAAGGTGCCGCTCCTGCCCACTGCTGCTCCCTCCCTCCCTCCCCACTGCTCTGTTTACTGGAAGCAGCGGCTTCTGATGAGATCTCACAAGACTTCGTGAAACTGTTGTGAGATCTGGCCAGAAACTGCCACATCTCTGGCAGGGGCAGCAGGGCACCCGTGGGGGCACCAACCCGTGTGATTCCACCACCAGAGACAGCTGCCTCAGTCCGCCTCATGGGTGGGCCCTCGGCCTAAAGGATCCTTCTCCAATGAACACAGGCCTGAGATGCGTCCAACGGGGGCGGGGGGGTTGACGTCACACATGTGCATGATGTCACACGTGTTGCACGGGAGAACTGTTGTATCAGGAGAGGCCGTCCAGGCCTCCTCCTGATGCGACATTCATGTGCCAGGTCATGCTAGTCTGTGCACTGTCTCCTGATGCTGTGGGGCCCAGGGCAACGTCCCACCAAGCGTCCTCTCCCCCCCCCCAAGATTAAGGGGAGCTGAGCCCCATCCTAGATGACATGGGGGGGGGATGTAGAGGCCTCAGCCGCATACAGTTGGCATACCTGCCACTGAATCAGCCCCCTTCCACACCCCTCTGCTGTGGTTCCCCACCCCCCATTACCTGAGGCTAGAGGCTAATAATAACAGAGACACCTTATTTCTGTGGTTTAAAGCTGTTTTAAAATGTTTAATATTGTGCCTTAATTGGTGAAACCTGCCCTGGAATCTTATGGTGAAGGGTGAGTTAAGTAATAGTAGTAGTTGTCATCATCGTCATCATCATGATGATAAAGATAATAATGATGATAATAATTATGACAGACCATCCAAGTGTCCCTATTTTCCAGGGACATCCCTGATTTAGAGAAGCCGTCCCAGTTTCTGATTTCCCGGAATGTCCCACTTTTCCTTAAAGGTAAAGGGACCCCTGACTGTTAGGTCCAGTCACGGACGACTCTGGGGTTGTGGCGCTCATCTCGCTTTATTGGCCGAGGGAGCTGGCATTTGTCCACAGACAGCTTCCAGTTAATGTGGCCAGCATGACTAAGCCGCTTCTGGCGAACCAGAGCAGCGCACGGAAACGCCGTTTACCTTCCCACCGGAGCAGTACCTATTTATCTACTTGCACTTTGTTTTTGTTTTTTTGGTTTTTTTCACCTTTATTTTTTTTTTAATGATTTTTATTAAGGTTTCAATAAAAAGTTAAACAGAAAAACATAAAAAAGAAATACATAAATACACAATATATAATCCAAAAAAAGAAGAAAAACACAGAGAACAGAAAACAAAAAAAGAAACAGAACAATTAAAAACAATATCACCTTTTCATTTCCGTTTTTAAATTTACTTATTTTCTGGACTTCCTCATACCTCCCTCTTTTGTATTCCAGTCCAAATTGTTTGTCCAGCAATTTCTTTTCCACTTTTTTTAATCCCAATCTTTAATCTTAATGTAATATAGCATTAAAATTTTACCTCTTAAGTACCAAATTTCCATTTCCTTAAACTTCTTTAATCCTAATCTTTAATCTTAGTCTATCTATAACTTTATCCTGTACAGCTGGAAACCACTTATTTTCAATCCAACATCACTCTAACATTCTTTAATTTTGCAGTGTTTCTGTAGATAATCTTTGAATTTCTTCCAATCTTCCTCCACCGACTCTTCTCCCTGGTCACGGATTCTGCCAGTCATTTCCGCCAGTTCCATATAGTCCATCAGTTTCATCTGCCATTCCTCCAGCGTGGGAAGTTCTTGTGTCTTCCAATACTTTGCGATGAGTATTCTTGCTGCTGTTGTTGCATACATAAAGAAAGTTCTATCCTTTTTTAACACCATTTGGCCGACTATGCCCAGGAGAAAGGCCTCTGGTTTCTTAGGGAAGGTATATTTGAATACCTTTTTTAATTCATTATATATCATTTCCCAGAAAGCCTTAATCTTTGGGCACGTCCACCAAAGGTGAAAAAATGTACCTTCAGTTTCTTTACATTTCCAACATTTATTATCGGGCAAATGATAGATTTTTGCAAGCTTGACTGGGGTTATGTACCACCTGTATATCATTTTCATAATATTCTCTCTTAAGGCATTACATGCCGTAAATTTCATACCTGTGGTCCACAACTGTTCCCAGTCAGCAAACATAATGTTATGTCCAACGTCTTGTGCCCATTTAATCATAGCCGATTTTACCGTTTCATCCTGAGTGTTCCATTTCAGCAGCAAGTTATACATTCTTGACAAATTCTTAGTTTTGGGTTCTAACAGTTCAGTTTCTAATTTTGATCTTTCCACCTGGAAGCCAATTTTCTTGTCCAATTTAAATGCCTCCATTATCTGAAAATAATGAAGCCAGTCTCGCACTTTGTTTTTTAATTTTTCAAAACTCTGCAATTTCAGTCTATCTCCATCTTGTTCCAAAATTTCCCAATATTTCGGCCATTTGACCTCCATATTGAGCTTTTTCAAGGCTTTCGCTTCCATTGGTGACAGCCACCTTGGGGTTTTATTTTCTAACAAATCCTTATATCTTATCCAAACATTAAACAGCGCTTTCCTGACAATGTGGTTTTTAAATGCTTTATGTGCTTTGACCTTATCATACCATAGATATGCATGCCATCCAAATACATTGTTAAAACCTTCTAGGTCCAAAATGTCAGTGTTTTCAAGAAGTAGCCATTCTTTCAGCCAGCAAAAAGCTGCTGATTCATAGTAAAGTTTGAGGTCTGGCAGGGCAAATCCACCTCTTTCCTTTGCATCCGTTAGTATTTTAAATTTTATTCTGGGCTTCTTGCCCTGCCAGACAAATCTAGAAATATCTTTCTGCCACCTCTTGAAACAATCCATTCTGTCCACAATTTGCAAAGTTTGAAACAAAAACAACATTCTAGGCAATACATTCATTTTTATCGCAGCAATACGGCCCAGCAGTGAAAGCTTCAAATTTGACCAAATTTCTAAATCTTTTTCACTTCAGCCCAACATTTTTCATAGTTATCTTTAAATAAGTTCCCATTTTTGCTGTCATGTTAATCCCCAGGTATTTAACTTTCTTAACCACTGTTAAACCTGTCTCATTCTGAAACCTCTCTCTTTCAATCGATGTTAAATTTTTCTCTAAAACCTTAGTTTTTGACTTGTTCAATTTAAATCCTGCCACTTGACCAAATTCTTGAATCAGTTCTAAAACCCTTTTAGTACTAGATTCTGGCTCCTGTAACGTCAATACTAAGTCATCTGCAAATGCTCTCAATTTGTACTGTTTAGTTCCGACCTGTATACCTTTAACCAACTGGTCCCTTCTAATCATATTCAGCAAAACCTCCAGGACCGAAATAAAAGAAGTGGGGAAATTGGGCAACCTTGTCGTGTCCCTTTTTCAATTTTAAGTTCTTCCGTCACAACATTATTTACAATTAGTTTAGCCTTTTGTTCTGAATAAATTGCACTTATACCATTCTCAAAACCTTGGCCTACCCCCATACCCTGTAGATTCTTCTTCATAAAGTTCCAAGAAATGTTATCAAAGGCTTTCTCCGCGTCTACAAATATCAAAACTGCCTTAGTGTTTATGTTCACTTCTAGTTTTTCCAAAATATCAATTATATTCCTCAAATTGTCAGACAAATGTCTTCCTGGGAGAAAGCCCGCTTGGTCTTTGTGAATCTCTTCCATCAACACTGTTTTAAATCTCTTAGCCAAAATATCTGCAAAAATTTTGTAATCCACATTAAGTAATGATATAGGGCGGTAGTTCTTAAGCTGTGTCTTTTCAGTCTCTGTTTTCGGTACAAGTGTAATATATGCTTCTTTCCACGACTCTGGTGCTCTTTTCCCCTCCATTATTTCATTGCAGACCTCTTTCAAAGGTTGAATTAACCATTCTTTCAAAGATCTGTAGTATCTAGAAGTCAAGCCATCTGGTCCTGGAGATTTACCCAATTGCATATTTTGAATGGCACCTTCTATTTCCTGTTCAGTTATTTTATGATTCAAAATTAATTTATTTTCTTGAGATATTTTTTGTAATCCATTTGTTTTCAAAAATTGATCTAAGTCTGTTTCTTTCAATGGCCCTTGAGTATATAATCGTTTAAAATACCTCTGGAAACAACTTCTAATTTCTGCAGGGTTCTGTATGTTTCTTCCTTCCACTTCTAAGTTCGTAATTGTATTTAGTTTTTGTCTCTTTTTCATTTGCCATGCCAACAGTTTACCACATTTATTGGCCGACTCAAAGGTCTTTTGGCTCATTTGTTTAATTTTCCATTCTATTTCCTGATTCATCATTTTCATATATTGTACTTGATGTAGCTTTAACTCTCTCAGAATCTCTTGAGATTTTTGGTTTACTCTCAGTCTTTTTTCACTTTCCTTTATTTTGTCCATTATCTTATCCTTCTTGTCATTTTGAATTCTTTTCTTTACTGCATTCTGTTGTATTAAGAACCCTCTCATAACCGCTTTACTTGCGTCCCAGATTACTCTTTTCTCCACGTTGGTACTAAAGTTTATCTCAAAATAGTCTCTCAAGGTTTTTGGGGCCTTCTTAAGTACTTCTTCATCCCTAAATAAGGTATCATTCATTTTCCATCTGAAGGAGCCAGTTGGTGTTAGTCTCATTTCCATCTTAACTGCATTGTGGTCGGAGCAGGTTTTCGGGCAGATTTCCACCTTTCTTGTCTTTGGTGCCATTCCTCTAGTTATCCAAATTTGGTCAATTCTTGTCCATGTCATTTTGGCTTCAGAAAGAAAGTTCCTCTTTAGCCATGGGGTTTCTTATTCTCCAAATGTCAACTAAATCCAAGTTGTCTGTCATGTCAAAAAAAGTTTTCGGTAGTCTACCATCCTTAGTGACTACCTGTCTTTGTGCCTTGTCCATATATGTGGATACCACTCCATTCATATCTCCCATCAGAATCATGTTGTAATCCATATGGTCCATCAGGGTCTCATGCAACTTCTTAAAGAATTCAGATTTCCCATCATTTGGTGCGTAGATTCCTACTATCAAAAATTTTTCTCCTTGTGTTTGAATTTCAATTGCCACAAATCTTCCTTGGTCATCTTTAAAAACAAATTTCGGTGATAATCTGTCCTTTGCTATCTACTTCACTTTGATGTGCTTTCGAACTGCTAGGTGGGCAGGAGCAGGGACTGAGCAATGGGAGCTCACCCCATCGCAGGGATTTTCCTTAGGATGTCCCTATTTTCAGTTAACGGTATGGTGTTATCCGACCCCTGAACCATCTGAAGGCAATCCTGTATAGGGAAGGGTGTTTTTTATGTTTAATGTTTTATTATGTTTTTATACATGTTGTAAGCTGCCCTGGGCGACTGGGGCAACCCGGTAAGATGTGTGGGGTATAAATAGCAAAATGATCATTATGGAATGGGGCGTTCCTATTTGCAGCAGATAAATGTTGGAGAGTATGTTATGATGGTGGTGATAGGTTCATGTCTGAACACATTCACAACAGTATTTCTTAGCTTTTCTACTGTAATGGTACAGTACACATGAACACACAACCACAGAGGCAGACTCTGGGGCTAAATTGATGTCTATGAAAAGGATGTGGTCTCATCAAGGCCAACTGGTTTAGGTAACGGTAAAGGTAATGGACCCCTGGATGGTTAAGTCCAGTCAAAGGCGACTATGGGGTTGTGGCACTCATCTCACTTTAAGGCTGTGGGAGCTGGCGTTTGTCCAGACAGTTTTCCGAGTCATGTGGTCAGCATGACTAAACGGAGCGCACAGAAATGCCATTTACCTTCCCACTGGAGCGGTACCTATTTATCTACTTGCACTTTGACTTTTGAACTGCTAGGTTGGCAGGAGCTGGGACAGAGCAATGGGAGCTCACCACCATCATGGGGATTCGAACCACTGACCTTCTGAACCGCAAGCCCAAGAGGCTCAGTGGTTTAGACCACAGCGCCAGCTACATGGCCTCAGTGAATTGTATAGAAGTTATTATGCAGAAGGTTGCTCTACAAGCTGTTCAGCATTTCTCCAAGTTGATCCTTGACAGATTCTGTTGGCTCTAGTAACCGGTGTGTATTTTGTAATGTTTTTGCTGGCACATACATTAATTATTTTAGTGTCAATTTTACAGAAAGAAAAGGAAAACAATGAAAACAACATCCAGCTACATTCATATTTCTGTATTTCATCTTGGCATCATGTACAAAATGCAGGCAAAATGCCACCTCTTGCTTTGGCAAAGTTTGCAAGGCGGCTGATTGCTGTGTCTTAGGGCTGAGCTGGATGTGTGCATGAAGATGCTTAGCTGAGGACCCCACTACACCCTAACAGCTGCAGAGCAGTGGGCAGGGTGTAGTTTGCAGCAGAAGAAAGCTGTGTGGGGCAGGGCTACACAGGCCCGGCAGCAGGGTCAAGCAACTGGTTTCAGGCAGCGTCATGGAGCATAGACAGGAATTGGTGTCTGAATGGTACAGCAAGAATTGAGGCCATATGGTGTGGAAGGGTGCCACTTGACTCCAGTTTAGGCAGCAAAATCTCTTGGGCCAGCCCCGAACAAGTGGGTGGGAGTTGCTAACTCTTCCACAACCCTCCTGCCACCATGTTATTTATGGGTTCCTAAAATGGAAATGGTTTACTTGTGTTTTGCAGATTGCCAGATGACTTAGCGCAGATTTTCTGTCATTTTTCTGTTCTCTGCCATCCCATCCTTTTGCTGTATAGCGTTGCCAGGCATAACCTTCTCTTCCAAAAGTAAAAGCTGGCATAAATTAATTGGTTGTCACAAGCCACATAGTCATACACATGTAATGTTTTTCAGGAGCAGAGCTGTCAAATCTTTTTTCTTAATGCAAGATATATATTTCCGCAAGAGCACCGGGGGAAATTGCCCATGGAAAATAACGCTTTTAAGGTTGAGGCCCAAATTGCCTGCCAAGCAAATACAGTAGGTGGGCCTCCTGCAACTGCACATAATTTGGTCTGCTAAAATAAGGTATGCTATTGAGATTGGCATAGTATATTTAGGTGTTTTTTTCTGCCTGAAACAAAGTCTATTGGTAAGATGCTTACAGCCTAAGCTTTAGCGCATTTACTTAGAAGGAATTGCTTAGAAATTAATTATTTTCATAAAACCATCAAGGAGACCCCTAACTGATGGAACATAAAGATGTACATAATTTGTATATTTTGATATGTGTGCACCTAAAATGTGTTGTTATGTACCTATATGTGAGTATAAATGCACATATTTTAAACTAGTGCCCATCAACTACTGTTAAAGTTTGAATTAAATAAGATGAATTGATTGTCTGCACATTTTGCATTTTTTCCAGCACCAGAGATGTTTGTGTTGTTCTGTGTCACAAGTTTGGCCATCTGTACAAGTGGGCAGCCTCTTCTCAGCCAGTTTAAAGGCGAGCATTATTCCACAAGATACGTATGTAGCATACCTGGGTTGCCAGGCGCTGCAGGTCTTCCTGGAGATAATGGATTACCTGGACCTCACGGGCGCATTGGGATCCCGGGACGAGATGGCCGAGATGGCAGGAAGGGAGAAAGGGGCGAGAAAGGCACTCCAGGTACTGAATATTCATTCTTCTTTCTTTCTTTCTTTCTTTCTTTCTTTCTTTCTTTCTTTCTTTTTTAAAAAACAAAACTCTATCAAAACCATTTTATAATACTGAGTGGTATTCAGCTAAGTTTTACTCAATGTAATCAAAGGGAAATTATTGAGCCTGGCTAGGTTAGGTTCATTTATTTCAGTAGGTCTACTCTGAGTTGAATACCACCCCTAGATTTCAATGCCTGCCCTGTAAAATGCTTTATTGGAAGTATTCAGCACTACATAATTCAAATTTGTTGAATTTTGTATTGATTGTCAGGGGTTCATTGCATTTCTTCCATTCTGTTGATTCTTCTTGATGCAGCTCTTAACTAAACTTAACTTGCTCTCTTGGAAATGAATATTTTTAATTTAAAAAACAGGCAAGATTCACATTGTATACTTTGATAGCCTATGTATTTTGGTGGAGACAGTGGGAGTCCTGCTATCAGAGAAATATATTCCTGGGACAAATAAAGGAAGAGAATTCTTTAAAGCCATATTGCCACTGGCTGTGCGCTTCATTTGTATCTAATAATCCTGGATTATTTGTCTGCTTAATAATAACTGGAGGCTAGCCAACTAAGTCACATATTAGAGCCTTTGAAAACAATGGATTTAAGTGACTTTCTTCTCTTTTAAGGTTTAAGAGGAAAGACTGGCCCTGTAGGACCAGCTGGGGAGAAAGGTGACCAAGGAGAAGCTGGCAAAAAAGGACCCACCGGGTCAGGAGGTGTTAAAGGCAGCGTGGGTCCCGTGGGTCCCGTGGGTCCCAAGGGGGAGAAAGGAGACAGAGGGAAACCAGGTTTACCAGGAACCTGCAAGTGTGGGCAAATAGTACTGAAATCCGCCTTTTCTGTTGGGATCACGACGAGTTACCCGGAGGAAAGGCTGCCAATTGTTTTCAACAAAGTCCTTTTCAATGAAGGAGGGCATTACAACCCTTCGAACGGGAAGTTCATATGCGCCATCCCAGGGATCTATTACTTCTCCTATGACATCACTTTGGCAAACAAACACCTTGCCATTGGCCTGGTCCACAATGGGAAGTTCCGGATAAAGACCTTTGACGCCAACACAGGGAACCATGACGTTGCTTCTGGGTCCACCGTGATGTACCTTCAGCCGGAGGACGAGGTCTGGCTTGAGATCTTCTACACGGATCAAAACGGTCTCTTTGCCGATCCCACATGGGCAGACAGCCTGTTTTCAGGATTCCTCCTGTATGTTGATACAGACTATCTTGACTCCCTATCAGATGAAGATGAACTGTGAGGCTGGAGATAAGCGGCCTCTAAGTGAACTCAAGACAATGAACAGAATCTGGCCTTCGCTGTTACTGAGACAAATCAAGGGAGGATTTTTGTTTTGCTGATGAGGCCTCCGAAGCAGAAGACTTCTCTTGCAGTAACAGATGCTGTCTGCTGCTGTTTTTATTAAGCAGATGGTTCTACTAAGTCGATGTACATAACAGTCCTCTCAGAAACCATGCTTATAATATTTAAGCAAATGTATGATAATGTACATGCAGTTTTATATAAAATATGTTGAGTAAATGACTGGATTACTATTTCTGTAAAGCTAAATATAAATGATATCTGTGGTAAATACTTTTATGGTTCAAGGGAGGTAAGTGTTAATAAAGTAATGCAATAAAAAATTGTAAATGCAATTATACTGCTGTTCACTCTTTGAAATGATTTGATAACAGTCAAGACTTGGAAAAGTGTGCAAGCTGATTCCTGTATGCCTTCCCTCCACCTTAATTGCCACCCTGTGTTGCAAATAGGAATGGAATTTTCTGGGAAAACTCAAAGCCAAATGTATCCACACAGTTTTTTTCAAATTCCCATACTGAGCCTTAATCTCATCAAGCAGCTAAAATTACAAACAATTCCACGCATAATATATGTGTGTTTATAAAGGTCAGGTTTCCTAAGTTAAGCTGCACATAAGCATATAATATTAAAAGGTAAAAAAAGTAAAGGACCCCTGGACGGTTAAGTCCAGTCAAAGATGACTCTGGGGTTGCAGCGCTCTTCTTGCTTTCAGGCTGAGGGAGTCGGCGTTTCTCCACAGACAGCTTTCCAGGTCATGTGTAGCACTTGAATAAACCACTTCTGGTGCAATGGGACACCGTGATGCACAAAAATGCTGTTTACCTTCCCGCCACAGCAGTACATATTTATCTACTTGCACTGGCGTGCTTTCGAACTACTAGATTGGCAGGAGCTGGGACAGAGCAACAGGAGCTCATCCCTTCGTGGGGATTTGAACCACCAACCTTCCGATCGGCAAGCCCAAGAGGCTCAGGGGTTTAGACCACAGCACCACTCGCATCCCTGCATATATTATACATAAGAACATAAGACGAGTCTGCTGGAGCAGGCCAATGGCCCATCCAGTCCAGCATTCTGTTCTCACAGTATCCAACTAGATGCTTGAATCTGCCACTGGTTCAAGACGGGGTGATGCACCACTTCATCCCGGAATTGATGACTAAGATTCTACCCAATACCTTACCTCAGCGCAGCCAGATTAAATGCATTGCTGGCCAGCAGGGTATGAAAGCAGACAGTGCCTGGCCAACCAGTGAGACCCTGACCAGAAATAAGGGCTTCTGATTTGCCCACTTGAACGTAAGGTTTTGTCAGGCAATTATGCCCAGCAAACCAGTCACAACACGATCTCTAACCACCCGGGGATGGCTGCTAGGGGAAAAGGGGGAGGCCGTAAATATGGCCCACCCAGGAAAGGGGGTGAGCGGCCATTGCTGAGCCTCCTTACCCAATTGCACTCTCATTTTTCATCCCTGCTTATAACACATTTTCATAGCAGCTACTTCCAAATTGATCGTCAAAGTGATAACATGGCAAAAGGCAAAAATAATTCATTAATTCCAGCTGTGCTCCTGCCTCTAAGTGCAGCTACTCACCCTCTGTGTTAACAGCCACATAAAGCTAAAATGAAGTGTGGACTCACAAGTGTCTTAGCCACACCTATGACTGAAATTGAGTCACTAATATACGTAGCGGGAAAGACAGATGTTACCCTTTAATGGGGTCATGACAGCAATGGAAAAGTGAGTTCAGTTTCCTTAGATTTCCCCATGTGGATTATGTATTTTCAACTGCTGAATAATATTGGCATGCATTTCCTTAAACAAGAAACATCTTAATCATTGTTCTTGTAGGTACTGGCAAAAACTGCTTAGGAATATGGGTGTGTTTTGTTAGAGACACACACAGCGTGCCCCACAGCTACCGCCCATATTCAGCCCGGCCATGTTTACCTCAGCGTGACTGGCATGAGGAGAAGCCACATCTTCCATCACAGGCTGAGCCAATTCCAACTGCTCAGCCCCTCTCCCTTGCCTCGGGAGGGCTTTGGCATGGACTGTCTCGTACGGCACCAGGGAAGAAGGAGGATCCCAGCCTGAATGATCCTGGTCCCACATGTTCCTGTACCAGATTTCAACATGAAGCCTCTCCAATGAGTAACAGCTACAGAAATAAGCAACAAATATAGAATAAACAATGAATAGCGACTATAAAATAAACAGCACATCCCCAACTTCGTAGCTTTTCTTGAAATACACACAATGGTGATTTACAACAATGGTTTGTTTGAAAGCCCGGCAATTTATTTTTCACTATTTGGTAACAAATATGGGTCGCAACTGACCCCTTTAGACAGAGAGCATGCACAAATCATTGCAGGTTTTTCTGCTTGCTCTTGCTCCCCACCATCATTCTGCAACCCATTTGATTTATAGATGAATGCTGAGAAAGGAGCCTGTCTTGCCCCTCCTGGTGGCAGAACACAGTCTCTGGCATCTCCAAGTAAGGCAAGGAAACACTGCGGCCTGAAACAACTGTGTCAGTATATAGACAACAGTCAGCAGCAAGATGAACCTTTACAGTGGTACCTCAGGTTACATACACTTCAGGTTACAGACTCCGCTAACCCAGAAATAGTACCTCGGGTTAAGAACTTTGCTTCAGGATAAGAACAGAAATCGTGCTCCAGCGGCACAGCAGCAGCGGGAGGCCCCATTACCTAAAGTGGTGCCTCAGGTTAAGAACAGTTTCAGGTTAAGAACAGACCTCCAGAACAAATTAAGTTCTTAACCCGAGGTACCACTGTAATCTGACTCACAGTGGGGCATCTTTGAATGTTTACATTTTCTTTCTTTAAAAGAAATTTAAAATGCTGTGTCTGTGTGTGTGTGTGTGTGTGTGTGTGTGTGTGTGTGTGCATTCATTCAATGTTATGTACATTTGTTTTATTGCTCTTTAAGAAAAAAGGTAGCATTCATTTTTAAATATTAAAGAGACTTCTTTGGGCAGTGAGTTAGTGATCTGACTTGTTTCCCACAAGCAACTGCTGTGTACAACAGCTTTTGCTGCAAAGAACGTATTTCCAAGAGAATTACATCAAAGTTCTATGAAAAACTTATTTCCTTCAAATTTAGAAACTTCAGGGAGGAACAAAAATATAAATAAAATTATTGGGCACATTGAATTCTTCCCTCCCCCAACTGCACAGCTAGGCATGAAGAAGATGTAGAAGAGATGAACAACACTCATTATTCACAGGTATTCCATGGCAGATACAGAAAAGCTCCTCAGAAAATATCAATATTGGCAAAATAACAGCAAGATGGCTTGAGTGTGTGCTTTCTGATGGCGCCTGTGGCATAGCATGGGTTGCCAGTGCCCAGGGCTGTGCAGAGGGGGAGGGAGGGCGGGAGGAAAACGGACGGAGCGTGCTGTCCTCCACCACCCCGCATTCCCAGCTGTCAATAAAGGTAAAAGAACACATTTCTAGCATTTCATAGAATCAGAATTATAGAGTTGGAAGGGACCCCCCAAGGGCCATCTAGTCCAGCCCCCTGAAATGCAGGAATCTCAGCCAGAGCATCCATGACAGATGGCCATCCAACCTCTGCTTAAAAACCTGCAATGAAAGACAATCCACAATCTCCCAAGGAGGACCTTTCAATGTCGGACAGCTCTTACTGTCGGAAAAACTGATGGACTTTTGGTATCAGACAAAATGAGTGGGAACTATTCTGAGTGCCTTTCCTTGCCACCTGAAAAATCCTTCCAGGTGTTCAGGGCCTTTGTACTAGGGTTGGGGAAGGCTGGGAAGCTGTGGCTCTCTGCAGCTTCCATCATCCTGACCACTGGCCATGGCTGGCTGGGAGTTGGGAGCCCAACAACATATTGATGGCCACAGGGTCCCTCACGCCAGTTTTGTACCACCAGTGGCCAGTTCCCGGTCTCTACTGGTGTCTGTTTGCACAGTTAAAACACTTTTCTTCTAGCTGGTAAGTGGTGCTGGCAAGTGTCCATGCTCCACCATTCATTCCAAAATGCTGCCTGGCAGTTGAAGAGTCTGCAGTCGGAACTATTTACATCTGATGGGGCCTGTGGCATAGCATGGATTGCCAGCGCCCGGGGCTCTGCAGAGGCGGAGGGAGGGAAACGGATGGAGCATGCATGCTTATTCAACAGCCTAATGATGTCAATGACACCTAGGAGATAGCAGCTGCAGAGATAAGAAGAGTCATTCCTATTTCTGGGGAGGGCACTTCCTGGTTTGCATGGAAAAGCCATTTTCAATGGAGCCTGTGATGGAAGCGCACAGCTCTAAATTTTGTGCCCCTAATAATTTTGCGCCTGGGGCAACCGCCCCAGTGGCCCTCCACGCCCCATGCTGGATAGCGCCCAAGAACACTTCCATAGCCATTTGGGAACTGCACAACTCTGGCAGTGTAAAGGAAGGAGATCTAGAACATTTGCAAGGAATCTGAAAAACAAAATTCATGCCAAGAGCAAAAGTGATGCTTGTGATAAGGAGAGTGAGGCCACAAGTAGACATGATGTGGGAGATTGCCTGTCTGATACTATCGGTCACAGGGGGAACCTGTAGATATTATACTGGTATCTATATTATCTCTACAAGAGCAAAAGTCGCTGTGTTGGCCAAATTCCACAGTAGGTCAATTCCGTTTTTAAATCAGCCAAAATATTGCAAAATAGTGAGCAAGCTCCCCGTAACTCTATATAAGGCTAGTTTACCTCCCCCTGAAAAAAGTTCTGAAAAGTTTCCAAGTATATTCATTAGGTTATAGTGGCTGTCAAGACATAAAACCTGTTTACATAAGGGAATGTGAACTAATGCTGTGCTCTAAAATACCCATCAACATGACTGGCTACTATGAAGCGCCCATTGGATCTTCTGTTCCCTGGTAAAGGCTGAGCACATTTTATTGTAGGATATATGAAAAGTGTCTTGAGTGTGTGTACATTACGGCCTTGCTTCCCATTTTCAATGAAATAAAACATTTAAAAAACAACGCCACCACCACTTTTTGGCAGTAACAGATTTAGCATTTGATACATCTTTAATATGCAGCATGGGTTTATTTATATTTTAGCGAGAAATTTGGTAAATCAATAAATGGTAACTGTGGCTTAATGTAGAGCATCCAGTTCATTTTTATAAATCTGTTCCAGAAGGTGATAAATCTGACTCAATAGGCCATTAATCTGAACCCCTAGGTGATAAATATGGATAGGAAAGCCATCTATCTGAGTCAATAGGTTATATATCACCTACTGAACTGCATCTGCCCTGTCTTATTTAATAGTTATATCTTTCCCTTTGAGTAATTTATCTTTTCAAGAAACAATTTATTGCTTGCTGTTTAAATTCAGCATGTAGGACATTTATTGAAGGAAGCACACACGTTTCAGTAGCATGTAATCTGCCACGTGTGATTTTTAGAAGCATCTCATGCACACATCCCATTAGACTGAGTGCTTTAGGGATGGTCTTTCCGTGAGACGTTTTTTCTTGTTTTGTTACACACTTTTGACTTGCCATCCATCATCTGTAGAACAAAACGTTAGTTTATAAAGTAAATTAAAATCAGAGCTATTGAGAAATGTAATCCAGTGTACTTTATTGCTTTTTTTTTACTGAACTTGTTGATAGTAAATCACTTTCAGCTGCTAGAGGGTGCTAAATCCCATTAATTTGACCAAAGTCCAGTTCCTCAATTAGCTCTTTGCAATTCAGAGCCATATGTAAATTAGCCAAGGTGTAGTGCAGTGTTAGGAATAGACTTCTCTTGGGAGGAAAACTCATTTGGTAAAGCCACCTCTCTCTCATGGAATTTCTGATTGCCTTCCATTGTATTCTTGCACATAAGAGAATGGCTGCTGTTTTCCCACATAGGATAATTCTAAAAAACCAGACTGCTGCTTCTGCAGATACCATTACAGAGGCAGCAAAGTACTGTATATTCATGACTCTGCCAGTGGATGGTCTCATGTGTGCAAGCACAGTATATCTTTAAGAACAGACTGCACAAATATTTACTGCATTCCTCTAATGCACACAAATATTTATTGCACATATATCCCGGCTGTCATAATGGGAGTCAGTGAATCATAGAATCATAGAACTGTAGAGCTGGAAAGGACCAGTGGGGTCATCTAGTCCAACCCAAAATGCAGGAACCTTTTCGTCCAACATGGGGCAGAAACCCACAACCCTCATGCTCTCCTGACTGAGCTCTCCCACATAGTTGGCAGCCTGTTGGGCCAGAGAGATCTAGGTTTTTAAATCCCTGCCCATCCACAAAGCTTAAAAGGTGACCTTGGGCCAGTTACACTATCAGTATTACCTGCCTCACATGGTTGTTGTGAGGACACAGAATAAATTAAATCATAAAGCAGCAGCAGCAGCGAAGGGGCACGCTGCTTCTGATGTGGCTGGCGGCAGTCCTCGACTTTGCACAAGTCTCTGGGATCCTGTTTCACATATCCTGCCAACTCTTTATCCTCATAGCACTGACATGAACATTGGGCTTTGCCATCACTCCCTGAAGCGGTCTGCCAAATGTGACAGATCTTTCCTTAGCTGAGAAGGAGAAGAACTGGAAGAAGATATTCCATAAACAGAGTTGCCAACTTCTTATATGGCTCTTGTGCCAGCAGAAATTCCCACTTCTGTTGGGACTGGATTTTTGTCTGCTTGGATTTTTGTCTGCTACACGGTACTTAAAGCCACACAAACCGTATAGCAGTGGCAATCCCAAAGATGAAAACTAGGATAGCTGGTGATATCTATTTTTCTTTAATTTCAAACATTTAGATCTGATAATAGATCATATACAAAAAGGAGGTTATGACTGGAAAATGTACCGTTGTCATCCTCTTCTGTGGCAAAAAAGAGAGCTCTTATTTTACCTGAAAAACTATTATTATTATTATTATTATTATTATTATTATAATATTTAAAGACATTTTGGACAAATGCATGCAAGTCAACAGAGCACAATGCTTTTGCATGCAACTAAGTACTGGATGTGGCCTGGGAAAAGGTACAAGGGGGCAATTTTATACTGCTCTTTGAAGAACTGAGTATTTTCTTTGGGGGATTCTTTTGGTTGAAAACCTAAATTTCAGCAACCTGCAACATGGATTGAACTCAAATTTTTAGATGAATTATAGCCTCACAACTCTATTGCGCCCACTGTCCTGCAAACGGTGTTGGCAAGAGTCTGGTGCTGATAACGCCAGTGTTGCAGGTTCGACCCCTGGATGGGTCAGCTGCATATTCCTGCATTGCAGGGGGCTGGACCAGAAGTTCCTCAGAGTCTACTCCAACTCTAAAATTCTATGATTCTAAGAGTGTGGAGGATTGCAGCCTTATTTATTTTTACAGGGAAGACTGGGCTTTGTCTGGACAGGGCTGAAGGAACAACGGCTGACTCACTTGTGCCCAGTCACTGCCACTGTAAAATGTTGCTTTTCTCCGCTGAGTCCTGCATTGCAGGGTTTGGACTAGATTACCCTCGGAGCTCCTTCCAACTCCACGATTCTGATTCTAGAGTTCGCAGGGTATGTGAAACAGGAGGATCCCAGAGGAATCATAGAATCATAGAGATGGAAGAGACCACAAGGGCCATCGAGTCCAACCCCCTGCCAAGCAGGAAACACCATCAGAGCACTCCTGACATATGGTTGTCAAGCCTCTGCTTAAAGACCTCCAAAGAAGGAGACTCCACCACACTCCTTGGCAGCAAATTCCACTGTCAAACAGCTCTTACTGTCAGGAAGTTCTTCCTAATGTTTAGGTGGAATCTTCTTTCTTGTAGTTTGGATCCATTGCTCCGTGTCCGCTTCTCTGGAGCAGCAGAAAACAACCTTTCTCCCTCCTCTATGTGACATCCTTTTATCTATTTGAACATGGCTATCATATCACCCCTTAACCTCCTCTTCTCCAGGCTAAACATGCCCAGCTCCTTAGCCGTTCCTCATAAGACATCGTTTCCAGGCCTTTGACCATTTTGGTTGCCCTCCTCCGGACACGTTCCAGTTTGTCAATGTCCTTCTTGAACTGTGGTGCCCAGAACTGGACACAGTACTCCAGGTGAGGTCTGACCAGAGCAGAATACAGTGGCACTATTACTTCCCTTATCTAGATGCTATACTCCAATTGATGCAGCCCAGAATTGCATTGGCCTTTTTAGCTGCCGCGTCACACTGTTGGCTCATGTCAAGTTTGTGGTCAACCAAGACTCCTAGATCCTTTTCACATGTACTGCTCTCAAGCCAGGTGTCCCCCATCTTGTATTTGTGCCTCTCATTTTTTTGCCCAAGTGCAATACTTTACATTTCTCCCTGTTAAAATTCATCTTGTTTGTTTTGGCCCAGTTCTCTAATCTGTCAAGGTCGTTTTGAAGTGTGATCCTGTCCTCTGGGGTGTTAGCCACCCCTCCCAGTTTGGTGTCATCTGCAAATTTGATCAGGATGCCCTTGAGTCCATCATCCAAGTCGTTGATAAAGATGTTGAATAAGACCGGGCCCAAGACAGAACCCTGTGGCACCCTACTAGTCACTCTTCTCCAGGATGAAGAGGAACCATTGATGAGCACCCTTTGGGTTCGGTCAGTCAGCCAGTTACAAATCCACTGAGTGGTAGCATAGTCAAGACCGCATTTTACCAGCTTCTTTACGAGAATATCATGGGGCACCTTGTCAAATGCCTTGCTGAGATCAAGGTAGGCTACATCCACTGTGTTCCCTTCATCTACCAGGCTTGTAATTCTGTCAAAAAACGAGATCAGGTTAGTCTGACATGACTTATTTTTCAGAAATCCATGCTGACTATTGGTGATCACAGCATTCCTTTCTAGGTGCTCACAGACTGTTTGCTTAATGATCTGCTCCAGAATCTTCCCTGGTATTGATGTCAGACTGACTGGGCAGTAATTATTTGGGTCCTCTCTTTCCCTCTTTTTGAAAATAGGGACAACATTTGCCCTCCTCCAGTCTGCCAGGACTTCGCCAGTGCAAAGACTGCTGCCAGCCAGGTTAAAGCAGCCTGTCCCTTCATATGATTTCATGCATAGGAGCCAACTAGGGGTCCTTGGCCCCCCAATAAAATATGTGAGGCCCCCCCCCAAGTTGATGGCTATTGCCATTCAAATGGCGTGCATGGGCTGCATCTTGTGATCAACTGTGGGGTTTTTAATATTCTGTTGGGAGCCACCCAGAGTGGCTGGGGAAACGCAGCCAGATGGGCGGGGTATATTATTATTATTGTTGAAGTTTGCACCCCGATTTCATATGATTTCAAAGGGCAGCTCCCGCCCCAATCCCAGGGGTCAGATATCTGAAAACCCCAGCGACCTACACGCCCGGAGGGTCCGTTTCCCCCCTTGCATTTCTACCCCCTTCATAGTAACTCTGCGACGGGAGGTTCTGGGGGCGTCTCTGGAGGACGGAGAGCCCTCGCCGGGCGGCGCGCTGCCCCGGGGCCGAGAGGCGGCGCCCCAGACCCCGCGCCCGAAGGGGCGCCTCCCGCGCGGCTGCCGGCGAGGGAGGAGCTCGGCGCCGGAGAGCCGAAGCGCGCAGGCGTCTCCGGCCCGCCCCGCTGTCTCCGGGGGAACGGCGGGCCGCGTCACGGAGTCGGGCGCGCGCTTCCTCCGGTCTTGCGCGGCCCGCGGGGGCCGCCGGAAAGGACGCTTCGGCCGCAGGTTGGCGGGGGAAAGCGGGGCGAAAGGTATGTGCCAAAAGCAGAGGGGGGCGCAGAGGAAGCCGAGTGCACTTCTCCGTTGGGACGCCTTCCTCGGGCGGCGGCCTGTGGCATTTCTGGGCAAAACCCCGACCCGCGAATGGCGTCTCCCACCAGCAGCAAGCGGCGAGGATGTGCCCGGCCATTCCCGTTCCAACCGGCGAACCTGGGCGCACGGGCGCCAGCTCGCACCATCGATACAAGACGCGGTGCGCGCACACACCATTTGAATGGCAGCGCCCATCAACTCGGAGTTGGTTCTTGTGCACAGTGACTCTTCTGAAATTCGAGATGAACCCCTTGTGCCCCTGTTATACTGTCAAGTTGTTCCAAAGGATTATTTCAAAGACACCTCCCCCCATCTGTTCTCTGGTTTATGCCAACTAGCTGCAGTTTATCATAAATATCTCAGCCTGAGCCCTAAACTGTAGTTACTGTGGTTTATTGAAACAGCCATCTTCAAACCATGGTTTATGATTAATTGCAGTTTAGGGTTAAGATTAATCACAGGGGGAGGAGAATGGAAGAACATCTGAAAAGCCCAGTGCTTGCCTATGTAATGATAAACCATAGCTGTTATGTTGAAATGTAGTCAGCACATCTGATTATGCTGAGAAGCTTCTTTGGAGCAAGCTGGTTTTATGGCGGCACTGGCATGGTGCCTTCTCGGTGAGCAGCTGTTGCCCCACTGCGTTAGCTGCAGGTGCATCCCATGCCACATTTACCTTCCATCACCTGTTAATGTGTTTCATCTTCTTGACTGCTCACCTGTCTCCAGTTTCATATGTACAAAGAGGAGGTATGAGTCTGAGCCAGCCCCTTCCCCAAACTTGTTTCTAACAACATTGCAAATCTTTGTTTTGCAAGCTGAAGTCATTTAGATAAGGAACTTGAGAACCCTCTCTGGCAAGCTCAGCCACTTGCTGCTCGTTCAAGTACCTAGAATAAAGTGTTCAAGCGAGATGCTCCTGGAATGAGCGGTGCATGGATGTGTGTGCACACTAGTGAAAAGCAGCCACACACACATTTATTTCTTGCGTCATTGGGAAAGCCATCTTCCACCTGGGTCACCTAGAAGCCACCCATTGTTGCTTAGCAATGGGATCTCCAACCCTTTCTCACTCGCACTCCTTCTTCCCTCCCTCTCTTCTTGCCCAATCTGACTTGTAAGCTGCAGAGAGAAGACAAGAAGTGCCAAAAGATAGGCGGCTGAGTGAGAGGGACACACTATGGCAACTACCAGTGACCGGTCACCACGCAGTAAGTGCTCCAATCATTTGGGACTGAGGGGTGGAGAGGGGCCTGTCCTTCCTTTGACTCATCTGCAGGCGTGGGCCTTGTTGAGCACGGATCACATTTGCCTGCCAGTACGAGAGGGGAATCAATTCTGTTGGCTCAGCAGAAATTAACCATACACTTTGTGACTAAAAATCAGCTATCTCAAAAAGGAAGATGAAAATAACTACAGTAATACATCCACGAACATCTGCCTCATCTAGCGTCCATTCCAGAGAACGTCCATGGCAAACCCAGAAGTACCAGAACAGGTTACTTCCGGGTTTGCCACTCGCGCATGTGCAGAAGTGCTGAATTGCGCATGCGCATAAGCGCAAACCGATCCGCGCGCATGCGCAGACGCGGCGCTTTGCCCTGCGTCCTTTTCAGCTAGCGGCCGGGGCTCCAGGACGGATCCCGGTCACAAAACAAGGTACGACTGTATTTTGTGTGCGTGCCTTTTGTTTTGCTACTTTTGTAAGTAATAAAGTTGCACTCTTTCAAGCTTTTCTCTTTGATGCAGCCACAAGGACTAAAATCCTTTTCATAAGATGAAATTGGTAGCAGTTACTTCCTATTGCATGATTCTTAATTAAAGTACAGTGATGCCCCGCAAGACGAATGCCTCGCAAGACGAAAAACTCGCTAGACGAAAGAGTTTTCCCTTTTTTTAGTCGTTGCGCAAGACGAATTTCCCTATGGGCTTGCTTCGCAAGACGAAACGTCTTGCGAGTTCTTGCGAGTTTGTTTCCTTTTTCTTAAAGCCGCTAAGCCGTTAATAGCCGCTAAGCCGCTAATAGCCGTGCTTCGCAAGACGAAAAAACCGCAAGACGAAGAGACTCGCGGAACGGATTAATTTCGTCTTGCGAGGCACCACTGTACAGGGAAGAGAGCTTTCTAAATTGTAATGTAATTGTGTGACACATGTTTATAGTGCTGGGTTGTTGAGCTGAACTCTGCAGAGCCTTTTCAAATATTTATATATTCCGTAGGAGAGGGAACTAAATAATTTAACTGTTCCCCACCTCCATATGAAATACCCCAAAATTCAGTTGAGTGTGGCTTATGTTCATTCTAGGTTAATGAACATAACCTGCCATATCAGACTGAAGCCCAAGTTAGCTTGGTGTTTTGGGTGAAGCAGTGGTTTCCCCCCAAGTGCCTCTGAGAAGTTCACAAACAGGGCATGTTATTCTCAGCTCATCCTTCTTTATCCCCCCAGCATAGGTTACTTATAGCGAGAGTGGACATTCCATTTACCTAATAGTGTCATAGTTCTATTAATTTATCTATTAATTTATCTATTTTAAATATAAAACGCTGCCTTAAGTTAGTTACTTCTTTTAAAAAAAATAATATTTATTACTTTTCCAACAATTGAAACACCAGAAAAAAAATAAACAATACAATACAATACAAAAACAATACATAACACTAACACATTAAACTAACAAAACAAAACAAAAACAATTTAAAACACATCAAACAGTTTCAATATCTTATCTTTCATTCACTTATTTCAGTGACCTCCTCACACCTCCTTTTTGTATTCCACTTCTGTTAATTGTTTCAGCAATTCCTTTCCATCTTCCTCTGCTTTCTATCCTTTAATTATCTTAACACATTCTAACCTTATTTTTCCCTTTAATACTCTATTAATCTATTTATACTTAATTCCTTATAACATTTCTACTAAAGCCATATAACTTCATTCCAAGTTAGTTACTTCTTGTATATCTTTGATAACTGGATGGTTTGAGCTGTTCAACATTATGCAGAGTCCTGCATAATTCAAAAGCCTGCATGCACTACCAGTGTTAAGTCACTGGAATAAATACAACCATCATTCCTTGCCAGTGTCCCTGTGCTGTCCATTGTGGCAGTTCAATTGAGCTACCTACGGACAGAGGAGTATGGTGCTGCATAGCAAGGTGGGAAAGAAAATGAGGTGGGAAAGCAGAGCAGGAAGCTTCAGGGCTGTGCTCTTGTGCTTCTGTCATGCTGCTTCCATCATGATTCCATCACGCTGAGCAGAGTGCAGATGCAAGCCCTTAGTGGACCAAATGACAGCAAGGCGAAAAAGAAGCAACTTGCTTCCCTTCAGCTCAAGGTCTAATGGGGAGTGGGAAAGTGTATTGTTCCCATACTCCTGTCAGATGACTCCTGCTCTGAGGATCGGGCTCAGGATGATCTGGACCCTCCAGAAACTTAGGAACAACCCAGAACAACAGCCAAGGAGGAGCCATGACCCTCAGAAGGACCCTTCCTGCAGAAAGGGAGCTGAGCATCTGAAGCAGGGGCAGAACAACCCCTTAGCCCCAGGAGTGATGGCAGCTCTGGTCAGAAGCATCTCTGCTTGTGGAGTAAAGGGCTACTCAGGAGTAGGTCCCTCAACATGTGAAGAGCTCTCTGCTGAAAGCTCTAAGAGGCAGCAGCTGGGCCCAGGATATAATTCTGGAGCTCTGGTTTAGAAGCCCCAGTGGGAGAGTTCTGATCATGACTTCTGTTTACCTGGCCCTTGAACTGCCCCTTGCCTGAATCCTTCTTAGATCTGCTTGCCTGAAATTGGACCTTGGTGAAGTTCCTTTGGAGAGGGATGGAAATAGTTTAGGATTTTAGGAGTAGGTCAAGAATGGACAGTAGAATATAGCAGGTTGAAAGGGACCACATGATCCACAAGGACCTAGGTTTTGTGCATATGTCCCCACCCACAAATATTCCCACCCAGATTATTCTCACCCTCTAGTGTGCTCCAAGCAGAAATAAGCACTGAATCACAAAACAATTAGACTAGATGTGTTCTGATCCTGTCTATTAAGTATGTATTTTCCTTGCTAAAATGAATTTTTCAGGAAACCCACATTGGTGTCTCTGCAGGCAAGAATGCTAATTTGCCATTCTCACAGATGCTATGACATATATGAGATTAGGAATCCCTGCTTTCTACCTGAAAGTAGATCACATGCATAGCTAGAAGAAGGTTCCTTTTAAGATGGCACTATGTAACTTGATCTTTTAAAACATACCGTATTTTTCGCTCTATAGGACGCACCGGACGATAAGACGCACCTAGTTTGGGGGGGAGGAAACAAGAAGAAAAAGATTCTGAACCCCAGAAGCCAGAACAGCAAGAGGGATCTGACTTCTGGGATAGCCTCTTGCTGTTCTGGCTTTGCGCAGCCATCCCCAAGCTAGAACAGCAAGACGGAGCGCTGCACAGCGCTCCGTCTTGCTGTTCTGGCTTTGGGCTTAGCCGCGCAGCCTGCATTCGCTCCATAACACACACACATTTTCCCTTACTTTTTAGAAGGGAAAAAGTGCGTCCTAAAAATACGGTATATTCAGTATGCAACATGTCCTCACTAAATCTCTCTGCATTCTGATCTCTGCCTTCTCATGAGTGCTTTTACTCTGATT